ATTCCTTTCCTTTATAGCTTTTTTTTTATTTAGAATAATAATATTATTAATAAAAAAAATAATATATATTAACCTCTTTTTATTAAAAAAGAGGTATAATTCTTTTTTATATTATATAAGCCTTAGCTTTATTAATATACTAGTAAATTCTAAATACTAGAGGAGTAGTAAGTCTTATAACTTATAAAGTGTTTAATTTAGTAGGATATTATAGTCTACTTCTTTAAAATCTACTAATAAATTTATTATTTCTTAGAATCCTAGTAATAGCCTATATAGGACTTTATTTAATAAGTCTTATCTACTAGTATATAAAAAAGTATTTTTAATATTAAACTATTAAGAATTAAGATTATATTTTATTATAAGTATTATTATTATTTAAAAGGTCTATATTACTAATATAGCTATATATATTTCTTTTTAACTATTAATTAGCTATAAATCCCCTTATATATAGATTTATACTTTATATTTAATTAAGACTTTATTAGTATTAAATTTATATATAAATACTTATTTAAAAGGTAAAGTATATTCCTTTTTAATATTTCTATATATATAGGTTTAGGTCTTTATTTTATTAAGGGTTTATATTTTATTAAGACCTACTTTTCTAAATTAGGTCTTAAAAGTATACCTTTTAATCTTATTTTACCTTTAAGGTAAGGGTAGTAAATTATTAGTATAGTATAGCTATTTATCTTTTCTAATATTTTAAGTCTAATTATTATCTAATTATTTATTTTAAAATATATATTTTAATATTATAAATAATATTTATAATTCTTTATTATTATATTTTTTTAGGTTAGTATAGTAAAGATTAGTTATATACTCTTTCTTTTTAGTAATAGTCTTTAGTAATTAGAGTATAATAAAGGCTAATTTTATCCTTTTCTATACTAGCTTTTAGCTATCTTTAATCTTCCTTTTAATCCTTTTATTTTTATAAATAGTCTTTTTAAGAATAAAGATTAGGCTTTCTATAATTACTTCTTAAATTTCTAATTATAATTTAAAGTCTTTTATAACTATATTCTATAAATATAGATTATAATCCTTCTTAATAAGCTTTTTCTAAGTTATTAGCTTATTCTTATTAAGTAAATATAGACTTATTTTTTTATTTTAAGTAATAAAAGGCTAAATTCTTATTTTCTAAGTATTTTTTATATATAAATCTTATAATTCTAGTTTTATTTAAAAGCTAAATAAATATATATATATTTAGTTATCTTTTCTTACCTTTAAAGCTAAATTATTAATATCTTTTTCTTAGCTTATATTCTTAAATAATTCTAATATATTTTTAAATAAAAGTATATTATTTATCTTATTACTTATTACTATCCTTATATTACTATTATTTTTAGTTTCTACCTTTAATATTAAAAATAGTATATTATTTTTTAAAATTCTAATATTACTTAAGTTTACTTTTTAAGTTTATATAATATATCTATTAAATATTATAGTATTTTATATCTTATAACTATTTTATTTAAATTTACTTAAATCTTATAACTTATTTTAAGGATTTAGGTTAAAGATAGTATTTTATAAAGTTATTAAGAGAAAATATTTAAGTCTAAATTCTATAGTTAGATTTTAACTTTCTACTTCTATTAAGGACTCTATCTCCTCTTCTAGTTCTAACTTAATAATCCTATCTTTATTCTCTATTTTTAAAAAATAGAATATATTTTTATTAAATTTAATATTCTTTATTATAATAATATAGTTAAATTAAGGTATCTATATTTAGTATAGGTTTAATACTATATAATTAATTAAATAACTAATATATTCTTTAAGGTATACTTTAAAGTTTCTTTTATTAACTTTTTTTTCTTATTCTTAATTAAGAAGGTATACTTAATATCTATATATATATTATCTTTTTATATTAATCTTTTTACTAATTATATACTTAGTACCTTATTTACTCTCTTTAAACTATAAATTTATCTTTTATAATAGTAATTTATATTTATATACTTTCTTTAGGCTATTTTTAAGTAGAAAGGTAGCTATTTTTACTACTTTAGATTATAAAGCTATAAGTAGTCTTAAAGATATTATTAAGATAAGTATTTTCTTAATAACTATCCTTCTAAACCTTTTATTTAACTTATTTAGCTTATAAATATATATTAGTATAGTTTTAATCTTAATTCCTAATTTCTTTATTTATTTTTAATATTTTATAAAAGTATTTTTATAAATTATAACCTTTTTATTATTATATCTTATAATAAGAACCTTAAGGTTAAATTACCTTTTAATCTATATTATAAAGTTTTTAATTATAAGGAAAAGGGTTTTAATATTTTTAAAAGTAGTTAGAATATAATAAATTAAACTAGTATATTTATTTTATATTATAAAAAAAAACTTATTTTATTATAACTTAAAGGGTATTCCTATAAATCCTATTTAATTCTTTTAAAAGGTTAAGTAATAAATATATTATTAGTTTCTTTATTAATAATATTTTCTATTAAAATAGTATTATATACCTTATAATCTAGATATTATATTCTAGTAATTTAGTTATTAATTAATTCTTAGATTAAGGCTTTAAGTAATTCTTTTTTAAGGTATCTTAATTATAAATACTATAAATAACTATCCTTTTTTCTAAAGAAGAATATTCCTTTTAATATATAATTAAGACTATATTTAAAGGTACTTAAGACTATTTTCTAAGATATTAGCTTCTTTAGTTATTAAATTAGTTTATATTTAAAGAATAGAATATTATCCTTTTTATATAGTTAAGCTATATAGTAATTATTCTTAGGTATACCTTTCCTTAAAGTATTATTATAGCTATTAATCTAAAGCCTAGTTTTAGCTTTTAGAATACTAGTTAAGATTAAATTTATATAAAAGCTAAGAATATAATAGATATTTATTAAATAAAGGTTAATTCCTAACCTATTAGGAGTAGTTAAGATATATTTTATAATTCTTATTCCTATATTAATAATAATAAATTAGTAATCTTTAGCTTTAACTAAGATATTTTATAACTCTTTATAGGAATTTAGTTTAAAAAGGCTTTTATTATTTATAATATAGTATAAGCTATAATTATCTAAAAGTATACTTTTATAATATAAGTAGTAGTTTCTATAGATAATAGAGAATATATTCTTTATAGGTTTAAAAGTATTTTTAAATAAAATATATATATTATATTCCTTTTATAACTACTTTCCTTTATTTATAGATATTTTAAGGGTAGCCTATTTAGGTTTATTTATAATTTCTTTAATTTTCTTAGTTTAAAATTTATTTATAGTTATATTTAGTTTAGAAGAACCTAGGTATACCTTTTAGATAATATAGTATTCCTCTAGCTTCTATAAGTAAGTCTAATCTTTCTTTTAATAAGGGTAGTTATATTTTTACTTTTTAGATTTCTTCCCTTATTTATTATTTAATATAGGGAAAGTATTCTTAATTAACTTTTTATACTTTAATTCCTTTATATTTTCCTTAAATATATTTATAATAGTTTATAAGGTCTAATTTAATATTAAATTATTCTTTAATAAAGTACTTATATTAATAAAATCCCTTTTTAAAGATATAGCCTATTTAGGTATTATTTTCTTTTTAATTATATCTAAGAAATTAATAATAGTTATTAATCTTTCTATATTAAGAATTTAGTAAAATAGTACTATTTAGTATACTTTTTCTTATATTTAGATTTAACTTAATCTATTTAATACTATCTTTTTAATAGTTATAATTTACTTATACTTTCTTTTTACTTTTTATTTTACTTTTTTAAGATTTAAGGTAATAATAACCTTTAATTCCTTAAGAATATCCTTAAAAGTATATTAATTATAAATAGCTCCTAGTTTTATTACCCTTATTTTAATAGTTCTTTAAGCTTTTAAAAAAAAGCTTAAAGTTTATAGTAATACTAACCTAAACCTAGATTAAATTAATATTTTCTTACCTCTTTTTAGCTATAATTACTATTTCTTTTTAAAAATCTATTATCTTTTTATAAGTAATTTTTAGGTTAGTATAGTTAATACTTAGGTATTTATTCTTATATTAAAGCTAAATAAACCTATAAGGTTTTAAGTATAAATTACTATTAAAGTAAAGCTAGTTTAGGTTTATATAACTCTAAATTTACTTTAAAGATATATAGGCTTTAAAGTAAAGTTTTTATTTATATTATTATTTTAATTCTTTAAGCTTAAGGTTAGAATAAGCTAAAGTAGTTATTATTTTTTAAGTTAATATATTAAAAAAAAAAGAAAAAAGATTAAAAATATTTTTATATATTTTAAATAAGTTTATAAATAAAATAAAAGTTTTAAATAATAAAAAGTATTTTTTATTATTTACCTTTTAAGCTTATAACTCTTATAAATTATATAAATAAGTTAATATAGATATTAAATAATTAATTATAATTAAAAGTAATTTTATATAGTAAAATTAAAAAATAATATATATTAGAATTTATAGTTATTTTTACTTTATTCTTTTTTAACTAAAAAAAGAAATTCCTTTTTTTTTATACCTATTTTTTAGCTTAACTAATTAGCCTAATTATACTCTTTTAATATATCTTTTTATTATTTAATTCTATTAATAATTAAGATTAGTTTCTCTAAACCTAACTCCTTTATTTATATACTACTATCCCTTTCTAGCTTTCTACTATAAGTAGGTCTCTAGCTAATTATATATACTATAATCTCCACTTAAATCACAACAGAGGAGGCTATTACGAGATTGAGCTGCTAGTATTGACGTGGTTATTGGCAGTCCTGCTCTCTGATTGGCTAAAAATTTGACTAGTGTCGCGCTAGTTAGCCTCTGTATCCACTATAACCTATAAATATCTAATTAGGTTTAGCTTATTGTCATTTAATCAATTCTTGTTGTCAAAATAGCAGCCTTCTGCGCAGGTCCTCCCGCATCAACTTTGAACGATAAAACTTGGGATCAGAACAGTGATGGCATCAGCTTATTTCCGCCATCGCGATTCGCTCGAGGGCCTTATCGACTTCTCATCGAGCCCTCCGCTTACAGAGGAAGCTCGAAATCAAGCGGAAACTAGATTCTATGCTATTGTCGACCACTTTCGTGACCAAAATCCTTCTAACGACGAATACGACCGAACAGCGCTTGTACGCTATACATACGAATATGCATTGACTGAAAAAGCCAAATACAATCTCTTGCAGGCATTCTTTGGATCTCTCACCATACCTCTGACCGATACAGTGGATGTTGATTTGACAAACAAGCAGAGAGAAAACGAAATTTGGTCGAATCTAGCAGGATTTGCTGATTACCTGTTTAATAACTTCTTCCTGCCTTGTAAGCCACAATCACGCTCGAAAGTCTAAAGGCGACGCTACTAACAATCGCCGTCACAGTAAAAGCTTCCACTAAACGAACCCCTCAACCCTCCCCAGCATATCACTCCGCGACACAACGCACACGTGTTGGGGGCCAGTCATTCGTGGGAACGTCATCACGGCTCTCAAGACTCCGAGGCATGTGCCTTATACGCGACCGCCATCGATGTGTCATCTCACGCAGCTTTGATGGAAAAAAAGCTCGCGAACGAATAAAACAGTCAGGTGCTGAGGCAAGGGATGATGATGGGCAGCTTCTTACAGGACAAACGGTTGAGTACTTGGAAGTTGCTCATATTTTACCGCACTCGTTAGTTAAGACGAAGTCGAAAGTCACGCTTGTATGTTTGTCAGTCTCAGCAAGCCTCCAAGCATTTATCAGCTCACTAGTCACAGGATTCTTCGCGCGAAGCAGCTCTGCAGATTCTGAATATGTTTGACACGGATGTCGTGCATTTTATCGAAGGCCCTGAGATCGACAGACCTCGAAATGCCTTGACACTGACTCTGAATCTGCATCAGAGTTTTGGCGACTTCGAAATATACTTTGAACCCGAGGCACAGGCAAACACATATCGGATCAAAACTTTTCTTCCCACGATCCATAACTTCTTGCCTGTTACGCGTGAGCTGTTTCTGACAGAAGATCGCACCATTGAGCCACCCTCACCACGTTTCCTTGCCATTCACAGAGCAATCGCTCATATCCTTCATCTTTCCGCGGCAGGAGCCTACATCGATACCATTCTGAATGACTTTGACAAGGAAATTGTGCGAGCCGATGGAACAACACATCTCGGCCAACTGGTAACCCTCAGGGTTAATGGCTGGCTGTCCAGTTAAGTTTTGCAGGGGACAGTACCAGCGTTAATTCTTAACGAGTATTGATTGCATCTCTTAAGGCTGCTACGATAGCTAGAATTAATAAATTCGCTATAATGAAGCCGGCGGCTAGAATTGATAGTTGATAATTAACGCTACCAGCGGCGGCGGCGTTGATGCCCCTGAATCTGCGATAATAACACCTATTATATCGCCCGTAGCGCCCGTATTGCCCGTATCGTCCGTATCGCCCGTATCGCCCGTATCGCCCGCATCGTCTATATCGTCGGAATCGTTGATCTCTGCATCGCTGCCTAAGAGGCTGCCCAGTGCCTACCTTGTGGCGCTGTTAAGGGAGCTGTTGAGGGAGCTGTTGAGGGAGCTGTTAAGGCGGGAAAACAAAACACTAGAGAGTGATGACACGGAAATTTCTTAATAAGGTATCTAAATTAATTGTGTCGGACATTAATGAAGTAAACTGGAAAGCACACAAATTCAAGATTCGGGTTGCAGAGGCTATATCAAAGTACTGATGCATAGCTGTGAAGAAGGCAAATTGAGAACAAGCAAGGGCAGTGACGGAGCATTTACGCCCGCGCGCCTCCAAAGTTTGTGATGGCGGCAGACAAGCTGTACAGCGCAGAAGACAACCCGCTCACAGCGCCCAGGAGCGCATCTGGAACGGCGGGAGCCGCCGGAGCCGCATTCACGGCCGTCGGGACCCCGGAGCTTGCGTCGCTGGCGCTGCCGGCCTGCGTCGCTGGTACGGCGACCTTGTTCGTGGCAAAGTTGCCGTTAAAGGCGGAGATGTCGTGCGTCTGCGCGCCGAGAACGTTGACCGGGACCGTCACCGTGTTGCCGTCGACGCTGTTGCCGTTGCCCTTGGTAGTGGAAGGGTCTGCCGCGGGAGCCTGAGCAGCGGGAGCCTGAGAAGCCGGGGCCGGCGCCTGGTTTGCGGAGCCGCCGTTGTTGTTGAAAGCCGAAATGTCGTGCGTCTGGACGCCGAGAACGTTGACCGGAACCGTCACCTTGTTACCGTCGATGGAGGTACCGTTGCCGCCCTTCCCATTGGCGGATGCAGCAGCCGGGGGCGCAGCTGGGGCCGCAACAGCGGGCGCCGCAGCAGCGGGGGCCGAGGCCTGGTTCGGGGAACCGTTGTTGTTGAAAAGCCGAAATGTCGTGCGTCTGGACACCAAGGACGTTGACTGGGACAGTGACTGTGTTACCGTCGACGGAGGTACCGTTGCCGCTCTTGGCATTCGAGGATCCAGCAGCCGGGGCGGCAACTGTTGCCGGGGCAGCTTGCGCAGCGGGCGCGGATGCCGAGCCAGGCGATCCATTGCCGTTGAAGGCCGAGACGTCATGTGTCTGGCCGCCGAGAACGTTGACCGGAACCGTTACCGTGTTGCCGTCGGCGGAGTTGCCGCCCTCCTTGCCACTGGCCGCCGGTGCTGCTGCGGGAGCCGGGGCCTGAGCAGCAGGAGCTTGAGCAGCGGGAGCCTGGGCAGCGGGAGCCTGGGCAGCGGGAGCCGATGCTTGGTTCGGCGATCCATTGCCGTTAAAAGCCGAGATATCGTGGGTCTGCAGACCGAGGACATTGACCGGGACCGTCACCGTGTTGCCGTCAGCAGAGTTGCCGCCGCTCTTGCCATTCGCGGCTGGCGCGGCAGCCGGCGCCGGGGCGGCCTGAGTAGCAGGCACTGGTGCCGAACCAGGCGAGAGGTTACCGTTGAAGGCCGAGATATCGTGTGTCTGAGCGCCAAGAACATTGACCGGGACCGTCACTGTGTTGCCGTCGGCGGAGTTGCCGTCGCCCTTGCTTTTGGTCGCAGGCGCCGCAGCAGGCGCCGGGGCGGCCGCCTGGGCAGCGGGCGCCGATGCCTGGTTCGGCGATAGGTTTCCGTTGGCGGCGGAGATGTCGTGGGTCTGCAGACCGAGCACGTTGACCGGAACGTCAATCTTGTTGTTGCTAATGTCGATGAACGGCACAGTCCGCTAGAACGGTCAGCAGGGGTCGGGATTGAAGGAAGCGGCACCTTACCTCGGGGTTTGGAACCGGGGCCGCCACGGCGATGGCGCAGAGAGCGAGGAACACAGTGGGATGCATTGGTGCGGTGGAATTAAGAATTAGCGGAAGCGAATGAAGTTACTTGAGAAACGAAAATGATTGGTGAATAAAGAACGTGTATGAAGCTGGCGTGTAATGAGCGAATGTGTGGTTGCTGGGGCTAGCCAACTGATGCTCCGAGGGAACATGACTGCTTTATACAAGACGGCGTGCTAGGACTTGGATGCTTCTCACCTGAAATTTGCAGTTTTCAGGTGGCATTGGGTCATTGAACGTCTGTGGCCTCGTCGCCTTTACCGGTAACGCTTGGATAACAGACTCGTCGCCCTACCGGGCGGGCAGTTCGACGTGCTCGCTTCGGTGCGACAGGGGTTACTTCGGTCGACCAACGGCTTCACGATAAGCGTGGGCGAGAATCACGCTACGCCATGTGGCAATTTATTTATTACATGCGGCTCTGCGATGTGATGAACACGGTTGCTCGACGGGCCCGGGTCTGTGTGTCCACGGGGTTGGAATGACCCACCAACCCATATTCACCGTGACCGCAACGGTGATTGCATTAGTTGGAATGAGCTCCGTTCGGCGCCTTGTTGCCCAATATTGCGTTTCTCTGTGCCTGGGAAGGGGACGTGGTCCATGTTCAACAGAACGGATTTATACAGGTCTTACTCTAGCGACCAGGCACAGCACAAATAGTTACGTGACAATGCTGATAATTTCTATCTTCAATTGTCTTTGTGAATTTGGAATGAGACTCGGTCGGCCGAGATTTCCAAGGCTACCGATTCGTACATGGACCGTGGGCAAGCAAGCGCGTCTCAGGATGGGCCGGCTGCCGTGGATCACCGGTTGTTCGATATCCAGGGGTTCGAGATGCTCCTGGCGACCATTGCATCGCTGCAAGGATTTGGATGAAGACGTGCTGAAATTCTCAAATTGAAACGGAAATACCGTTGCTTTGCACTATGGCGTGCAAGCAGGGCTACTTACATTGGGGGTCATCTCCGACTCTGCCCTGGCTCAGTTCCCTGTGTGACGAAAACAGCGGAAAAATACACAGAAGACATTGTTTCAGGGCTATTTATACCCGGCAGGTGTCAATCACACAAATTGTACTTGATGGCCTGCTAATGGGGTGATCCTGAACGGCCTGACACCGGCGTTCCGTTGAAGAGCGGTTATATTGAAACAATAGATCTCAGGAGGCGAAGATCTTGACCATTTCCATCGGAGCCGGAGAGATAGGCCCCTGAAAGGCCTTGGATGTCTAGCCAAATATACACAGTGACATTAGTTCTGTGAGCGCCAACAGCTGCCTGGCGTCAAACAGAGAAAAGAACTAATTTGTATGTCACAATCGAGACTAAGTTGGATTAGTACTTCTCAGTCGTGCCCGAGAGTTTTAGTATCAATTCTAAGCAATGACCAATAGTCAGTCAGTGTTGGTCAATGTCATCATAGCTTACACGACAGGCACTCTGCGAAGCAATCTTCATTTAAAATAATCGCTATAAATAAGACAAGCGTTTCCAACGTTTGCTATCAACATAAAGACCTTTCTATACATCTGTGTAATTTATTTTTATTTACTGAGCCACCCCGCCGACTGACAAAGTGTAGTCATGACGTCATCGGAGTCCCTCAAAACAACGGCTTCGTGCTGCTCAAGTTATCGATGCGTCCAAGAAGCTGCTGGAGCATCCTGTAGCCACCAGAAAGCGAGTAGCCGGGCACCTCGTGACCGGCGAGCTGCACGTCGTAAAATGTCAAACCGCGCTCCTTGACGTACACGCCAATGTTTCCCTTGGGGCCCTGGGCACCGCCGTTCTTGTTCTCATGGTCGGGCACGAAAAACGGCGTCTTGGGAAACGAGTGGAAGCCGCGGTGGCCGTGCCACGTCACGTTTTGCAGCGCGAACAGGGTGCCGTTTGTCTGCAGCAGGGCGTCGAGGGCGCCGGAGCCGACAATGGTGTTGTTGGTGCGCTCGATGATGTTCTGCAGCGTGCCGTCGAGGGCGGCGCCGGGCGAGGCATCGCCGTGGGGGAAGACGTTGCCGTTGTTGCCGCCGCACTGGTTCCAGCCGGCGCCGATGAGGGGCGCGTGGATGGCCCGCTGCACGTCGCGCCGCTGAAAGTACACCTCGGCGCCGGGCGGCACGTAGTCGCCGTCGTTGACGGGGCCGAGGTGGCTGTACGCCGTCGGGCACTGGTCCGAGATGTGGTACACGTTGTAGCACGGGTTGTTGGACTGCAGCGAGGCGCGGATGATGCCGGACACGGCGTGGTCCTCGGCGGGTACGGCCGGGAACGGCTCCTGCGGCGGCGGAAAGGTGAACCACTTGGAGGTGTAGTTGGCCTGGCCGCTCGACGCGTAGAGCTGGTTGATCTTGGCAATGGTCTGGTCGCTGTGGTGCAGCAGACGGGCCCAGTACGTGTTGAAGGGCACGTCGGTGATGGAGAATTGGATATTGTCGTCGCCGATGACGGGGTTGTTGATGGAGATGCCCTGCAGGTTGAAGTACTTGGTGTCGTTTTGGAGCAGGAAGCTGTTGGCAATGTACGGGACGTAAGCACCTGCGTATGACTCGCCGGTGAGATATGTCTTGGCGCCCTTGAGCTGGTCAAAGGTGTCGATGAAGTTTTTCCAGAACCCGCGGAACTGCGTGGCGAGCTCAATCTCGTCGCGCACGCTCGGCGTGCCCAGCGAGAAGCCGGTGCCGACGGGCTGCTCGATCCAGATGACGTTGGTGAGCTTGTGCCACGAGTACGGGTTGCGCACCGGCGCCAGCGTGCCGTCCTGCCACAGCACCGGCCCGTTCTCGGTCAGGAAGCCCGACAGCGACGAGCACCCGGGCCCGCCGTTCAGCCAGACGGTGATTTCGTCGGTGACGGCGGCGTCGGCCGAGGGGAAGAACCAGAAAAAGAGGTTGTCCTTTTCGCCCGCTTTGGTCGTGATGGGCAGGCTCCCGGCGTAGGACTCGCCGACGTCGAACGGGATCTCGGGGAGGTGGGCGCCGTCGACGGCGAACTTTGTGGTCTTGCTGGTGAGGAATCGGGGCTTGGCGGTGCTGTTGCCCGCCAGGGCCTCGCGCTTCGCGTAGGTGCTGTCTGAGGCTTGGGGGAGGTATTTGGCCAGGTGCTTCTTGAACTCGGCCGCCTTGTCGGCGGTAGCGAGGGCCGCTGCTGCGACGGCAACAACTGTGGCGAAGCGCATGTTTATTAGTCGTGTGTAGAAGAGTGTGCTTGTGAGAGCCGACGTTGAAGAAGTCGGCGCAGTTGCATTTTATAGATTTCTCGTTCGCAAACCCGAATTCCGCCTCTCTGCCCTGCTTCCGGGGTGGTATTGGCTTTGAGCCGAAGACTACTTCGCATAACTCCGTGGCCGCCGGGTTGAAGCGTTGTAACTTTGCACCCAGTGAGGTCACCTTTCCTAGCCCGAATGGGCAGGTGTGGCATCGCGAGATGATCTCATTGGCGATCGTATAAACTCCAGTGTATTTGCGCCCCGTCGGTTCGTCATTGCCGGCAGCGTGCACATGTTCGTGACCGTCATCGAACAGGGCTCTTCTGCTTTCGTCGTATCCCGAACCTTCAAAGGTAACGTTTAGTTTAGGTACCTGCCTGCCTTGGTAATAAAAGACAGATTAAGCCGGTATTAATCGCTCGCCGGTCGGTGATGTGGCCCTCAAGGTTTGCGTGATAGTGGACATGGAATGGCGCATCGAGCCTAGCAAACAAGCCGGGTAATTTAATTAATTAATTTATTATTAGCTTGAATGCAGAAACTCTTGTGGCACTAGATCGGCAGCCCGGCATTATGCCTTCTTGTCGGCTTGTCCTAGCTTCCTAACCTGTCAACGTGGATTGCCTTGCCGTGCTGGTACTGTACCCAAATTCTAGCCTTGTGACCTGTGTTGAGACATTTTGACAACAATAGGTCGCTTGACCACAGCGGAATGACGGACCTGTTTCATATGAATGAGGGCTTACTGTTGGCGGCCGCTATCGGGGTTACTTCACTAGGGCTGCTTTCGTCCGCGGCCGAATTAAAGTCATGAAGATTGACGGATTATTAACAGAGGAACGTGACTGCAAGTGCCGGATCGGAAGACTACTGATACAGTGACCGCTAGCTTGTTTGATTTAGCAGCAGGCCGTCGAGGTTTAGTCCCAGCCTAGAGTTCTTCTAGCTTGTTAGTGGTGCTTTCTACCTTTACTGACAGAAAGTGGCATCTCTTGGCGGCGTCTGACATGTATTTTAAAAAGTCCCTTAAGGTGCACAAAGTATTTCCCTTGAAACTAGCAAATATTGTACCTGCAATGACTGTAGACCCCAAGGTATTCGTTATCACCAGACAGCTTTGCACCATACCGCATCAATATTCCCCGCTAGCCAGCACGCAATAGAATCATTAGTGGCGTCTACGATTACAAAAATATCATACAAACTATCCAGTCCCTAATCAATCACTTGTTATAATGGCCCACTCCGCGACCGTCGCGCCCGCCGGGCCCGGCCCTTGACTGCCCTGCACAAACAGCGTCGCAAACTTGGTCGCCCTGATCGGCGTCTTAAACGTCACGTCCGTCGTGTTGCTCTGCGGTATATGCAGCCCGGCCGCGCCCACCTCATGCGGCGCCGAGATCTGCACCGTAAAGTGCTGGCTGTTCTCGCTGCTGCTGCCGGCGCCGGCCTCGTCGTGAAACGTCACCGTGAAGCTGTCGGGCGGCCGCTGCGCCCAGTCCAGCGCGCAGCCGGTGATCTTCCTGCCCCGGTCGTGGGCAGACAGCGCCACGGTGATCGAGTTCAGATCGGCGGCAGCGGCAGGCTGCCACTTGGTTGAGCGCGCGCCGTCGACGGCGCCCTCGGGGAACTGGCCCGGAACGGTGCCCTGGGTGGACATCACGGACTGGCACTGCGCAATGTTGCCCGGCACCGTCTTGGCGCCCGCGAGCTTACGGTTCGGAATGGTAATGGCGCTGCCGTCTGCGGAGAGCTGGTACGACGTGCCGCCGGCGTCGACGGGGATGGGCGCGTGGCTGTAGCGCTTGTCGGCCGTCGCGAGGGCCGGGACGCTGGTGGCGCGCGCCAGCGTCGTGTGGTTGTACTTCGAGGACGCCGTCACCGGCCAGCCGCGCCAGTAGAATGTCCGGTACCTGAGCTGCGGGATCTGCGGCGGCAGGCTGGGGTCCACGTGGAGCGTGTCGTCGGGGAGGTAGCGCAGGCCGAGGTAGCCAAACAGGGTGACCTGGTTGGCGCCGCCGTGGCCGGTCAGGAACGGGAAGCCAGGGTGGGTGCCGCCGTTGGCGTTGGGGTTGTCGACAATCTGCTCCGAGAGCTGGTAGAAGGGGGCCCGGAGGTAGGGGGAATACGAGTATCGGGCGTAGGTGTGCGCGGAGCAACCGGAGGGCGAGACTTGGTTGGCGACGATGGAGAAGATGGCCCAGGTCATGGCAGGGCCGTCGGCGGATTGTTTGGCAGCATACTGTAGGCCAATGTTAGCATGAACTCAAGGTCCTTTGACGTAGTTACGCACATAGTCCAAATCGTTCAAAGAGTCCTCCGGCCCATAGTTGTGAGTGTAGTGTAATGGGTAGGTGTCCAACACGACATCGGCTTGTTTGACCACGACGTTGTCATTCATGGTGGTATACTCGAGGGTGATGTTATTTTCCCGTAAAAAGACAATATTGTCCGCCATGTTTTGCCATTTCGGTTCTGGCGCGAGCCCGAATTGCTGCCTGAACTGGTTTGCGTAGCGCAGGGTCTGCGAAATGAGCGGCATCGTGTATCCGCCAGCGTCAATGTGATTTGCATACTCGTCCGGGTCCGTCATATCGGTCAGTGTCCAGTTACTGCCATTCGGCTGCATGATGCTGGCATATCCGCGAGCGATAGAATCAAAGACTGGAAAATACGTGTTCTTGAACGTGTCGTCATCGCCAGACGCGACCCATTGGTTGATGAGCGCCAGGGCAATGTCGCCGTTGATGTGGTACTCATAGTCCCAGCACGCGCCCGTGCCCGTGCAATTCCCAAAACGGCCACTGGTCCACGAGTACAGCGCGGCATCGGCCGGCATCACGACGCCGCTCTTGGACGTTCCCGCGCCGTTTTGCGCGTTCCGCTTCGCCTGCTCGTAGTGCGCCACGCGGTAGCTGGCAATCGTCTTGGCGGCGGCAGGAAACGCCGCCACGAGGCCGGGCTGCATCCACGTCTCGGCATCCCAGAAGATCATGCCGGCATATGTCTCGGAGCCGAGCCCGCCAACGGAAATGCTGTTTTGGTGGAGGGCTTTGCCGGACGACTTGGCGAGTGCGTTTTCGCCAATCGTGTTTTGGAGGAGGTAGAAGGGGTTGACAATGGCCATGATGGAGTCGTCAATGCTGGACGGGTTGGAGGGAAGAGTGCCGTCGGCGTGGCGGAAATCGTCGACGGAGTGATCGGGCATGACCTGCGCCCATTCTGAAGTGTGCGATTGGAGAAGGCTGTTGAAACCTTGTTTGGCGGCCTGCTGCGCGGCCGTCTTGGCCTGATTTTTGGGGTCCGTAAAGGCATCAGTCGACGCAATGCCCACATACTTTGTGATTTCCAGGCGCTTGTTCGCCGGTAGCTGCACATTGTGCTTGCTCCCGATGCTGGACTCATTAGCCTGAAGATACGGCTCTTGGTGGGTGAGCTGTGCTGCGCCAACGTTTCGCGCAGGGTCAAAGCCGAGCGTGGCATAAACATAAGCCGTGGTGCTGGGAAGCCCAAGAGGATGCACAGCCGAGTAGATGGAATCGTCGTCGGCGCCAGACTCAAAAAAGGTTGAGCGAACCGCGCAGGCGCCCTCGAGGACGTTGACAATGGTCGCGTTGACGTCGGCGGACGGTTCCACCAGCATGCGCACCACACCGACGTTGATATCCAGCTTATGCGCAAACACTTGATACTGAATCTTGAAGGTCGCGGCCTGGTTTTTGGGGGCCCATGTATAGTCCCAGGACAAGACGCCGGCCTTGTAGTCAAACGTGGTGGAGTAGTTGGAGATGGTGTCACTTGCAACGCCCGCGTCGAGGTAGGCGCCGTTGCCGAGATCAAGCATGAGGCCGCCCCAGTGCGGGATGCCGGCGATGAAGCTTTCGCCGCCGTTTTGCACGTCCCAGAAGCCGGACACGCCGGCAAAGGCCTGGCGCCGGGAAAAGAGCGGCCAGCCGTTGCGGTTGTCGCCGTCAACGGGCACGTCGACCTCGAAAAAGGGCCCGGCGGCGGCGGCGTTGAGCCCGATATAGCCATTGGCGACGGAGCCGCGCGACTGGTAGTGGCCTTGATCGAGGACGGAGCTGGTCAAGCGCCAATGAGCGAGATCCCAGGACACGCCGGGAAACGCAGTCTGGTACGTGGACTCGGCGCCATCCCGAACGTGTATGGATGAACGGTCGACATGGTACTGCTGCAACGCTTTAGCGACTCTCACATCGAAAGCCAGGACACTGCCGAGAAGCGCAAAGGCCACGGCGAGTCCGGTAGTCTATCACGGTGTAAGTGGTGTATCCATAATGTGCTTCTGTATTTCTGATCATGACGTACTGGAATCATTATGCCAGGGAATAGACGCCAGGAATATGTACAAATGAATTGAGAACAACCTACCTTTCTGGCAACGCCTGTGTATATAAACCCCTTTGTGCACAGATGATTTCCGTGCTCCCGTCTACGTCAGTTCGGCGAGACGCTCGTTCTCGGTCAGCGGGGCAGGCGCACAATGTCACCCATCACCCACGGTTGCACTCGCAAACAGCAGTGTTCCGGAAGCCAGGCCGCGGCGCCCATTTTGACATCGCATGATGTGTTGCGTAAAGTTTGATTGGCCTGGCCGAAGCCATCATATGATGCCTCCCTAGTGCTCTCCTTCCCGTTCGGGAAACCACTTCTGATCAAGGCAGAAGCAACTCTGCATTCGCCCACCCTCCAACTAGTATCTTTTGAAGGTATTGTTTGCCCCGCAAGTGAATTGCATTTCGCCGACTGCACCTCCGACGAGTGCGGGGAGCGCTAAGCGGGTTCTGCATCTCTTCCTGTCGATCCCGAGCAAGAGTAGACACAAGTATAATCGCTTCTCCGTGGCATGGGCGAGGGATCATCTAGTTAACAGGGTAATATAAAGGGAACAAAGAAGCCTTGAGAGAAACAAAGGGCCCTTGGTGGAACTGAGGAACGCGAGAAAAAAATACATGTCGAGGTATGGGCAGTTGGTGGCCATGTGTGCTATTCTTGGTTGCACAGGCGGCACGGATAATGACATTCCGTTGGCACAAGGCAGTCCGTCAACAAAGCCGCCAAGCTAACTATGTGTTTGGTAGCAAGCGAGGTCTGTCCGTGCCACATGTATGTATTTAGTTACAATCAGTCACTCTTGAAACGATTTCCCATGCCGCCCGTTTATTCCTCTTGGCAGCGGTCCCACGTGCCTGGATCTTGTTTCACTCCAAGCGGGGTTCCAACAAGGTGAGGGAGTCGAGTCTCGGAGATCGCGTGATGAAAAGTGTGAGGATGGATCCGAATCGGTGACATGAGTGGCTTGCCACGTATCGACATTTTTGGTAGGACGCCCAAGATTTACGCCTTTTCTGGCACTTTCTCGGACGGCGCTGGCTTTGGTTTGTAATCTGGTGGACGGTCGGCTCCATGCATGGCTTCGGCAAACGAAGGCGGCGCGGGCCTGGCCTCGATTTCAGTGGCGTTATTGGCCCCATTACGGGGTACCGCTGCGGCGATCGCCGGCGGCGCCATGATGCGCGTGTCAAATTTAAAGGTATCAACGTGTTCCTTGCCGCAGACGGTCACGCTCACCGCGACTTTTAAAGCGTGGCTGGCCGTCATGTTGTACGTCACAAAGTCGGTTGTTATGGGCGGCCCGAACCAGTGGCTGGCCAGCTTGTCGGTGCCGCTCGAGAATCCGGACTCGGAGAGACGGAGATCAAACAGCGCGCCAAGATTGACGGGCTCGCCGTCAGCGTCAATGTCGACGACCATGGGGGCCGGCAGCGACTTGAGGGCCTTGTCAAAGTGGAGGTCGATGGTGTCGGACATGCTCTCTTCGCGTGGACCGCCGAAGAAATGCTCTCCCGCGCGAATGACGGTGTATTGTTTCAGGTGGACTGTCATGTAGTTTATGGTCGCTTTTTGTGTCGTCTTGCGGACGTCGTCGCTCGTCCCCGCTGCAGTGGGCGATAGCCGCAGGGTGAGCGGGATGGCCTCGTTGGGCTGCAGCTGCATGACGACGGGAAGGCCCACGTGTACGGCGTAGGCAAGGGAGGGGACGCTGGACGTGTGGAAGAACTGCTTGCTCTTTTGCTTCAACGAGAGCGAGACCTCATTCATGCCGGGGATCAGGTTGTAGGACGTGATGGAATGCGCCGGCGACGCCAAAGTTTTCACGATCCGCGGCGGCGCGGGCTCGCGTGTATTCGGCGCGCCGAGAAGAATCGGCTGGGTCGATTGCGCCGCGGTCACGGCCTTGTTGTTCGTGCCCGGGCCGGGGCTGAGCTGTGCCTCGAGCCAGTATTCCACATATCCCTCCTTGTGATGGTGATTCGAGGTATAGGACGGCGGCAGCATCTGCGTCGCGACGGACGCGGGATCGGTCGGCAGGAAGCTGTTTCCCTGTGCTTCGCGCGAGAGATTCGCCGAGGGGCACGTCGGTATCGTCACGGCAAACGGAAACGTGGCTGGGTCTCCTTGCTCGGCGACGTGCAGCGGGCCGGAAAAGAGGACGGATGATGTCTCGGGCCCGAAGAAATGGTAGCGGCTGCGGTACGTCTCGTGCCGGGTACCGCCGTTGCCGTTGCCGCGCGTGATGACGATTTTGGTCTTGGCGCGGCCGAGCAGACGGATTGTGATGCGGCATTCGGGCGCGACCATGTGCGCGCGCCGCACGACGTGGCCGGTGATGGTGTCGCCGGCTTGGAATATGCGTTTGCTGGAGCTGGTGAGCGCGATGCTGAGAGCGGGGGAGCCCTCGGGTCTGGCGCAGGGCATTTTGTGGTGGGTTGTGTTTGTTCGGACGGGTGGTGTGGCTTTTGCGAGGACCAACGAATGGAATGGAGCCGAGTGCCAACGTCTAGCCGACCGACAGTTGTAGTGCGGCTTGCAGACCTTTTATCAGTAGCCATCGCGACAAGAATTCAGGAACACGAGGCTTACAAGTGACGTAGGTAGCGCGCAGCCTTGTGGGCAAAGCTGGGTCAGGCGGGCTCAGGCTAAACCTTGTGAGGTTATCGCCGGGAGTGGCGCCCACAACGCAGTGTCGGGGCTTGGCTGGAGGCTGTTGGCTGCCAGCCCACAAGGCGGGCTAGCCGGGCGTAGTAGGGGCAAATCTTAGAAGTAGGCAGTTTTATCACTGGAGGATTGTTCGTGGTCGGGCGAAAATGAATCTACGTGCAAGAGGCAAATGTCCTTTCCGTGTGCGAAGACTCTGGCGGGGTCACTGACTAGTGAATGTCACCTACAATAAGAAGTATAAAAGAAATACACATAATTCTATTAAAATAGCCTCAAGGTAATAGTTGCAAAATATTGGTAGAAATTCCTTGCAAGCAAATACCCATGAAAAATTTGTCGGATTGTCAATTGGTGCATTTGGTCTAAACATCCAATCATACTGCCATTACGGGATTATTCCTGAGGAACCGACAAATATTTCTACCAAATCTAGGTGATTATACGAATGGGCCGTATTGGCCGGGAAAAATAAGTGTCCTGGGAGATCCTGTACAGTCAGCCTCACTTGCCTCAGCAGCCTTCAGGACATTGATGGTAAACGGGTCACCGTGGAGAAAAGCCTGGCTAGAAGTCTTGCGCTCGCGTTTGAGAAGGGGGGGGGGGGGGTAAAGAGAAGTTGGAAAAGTTCAAAAAATAGAAAAATATAGCACACTTCGCCTTTTATAGTCGTCGGACCTTTTCAGTCATCTTCTTGATGCTGCAAGAAGTAATATGATCGTCTTGCGCCACCTGCAAGCCACACAGCCAGCTCACATCTCGTCATGTGTTGTCTCGGATCAAGTTTATATCAGGACGGTACAAGGTTTTGCCGCTCAGGATACGCTTCGATGCGGGATTGGCCATTGGACTTCTGAGCATAATGATGCGATCCAATTCTGACCTGCCACAGTGTGGTCTTGTGATGACCTATAAAACCGACCGAGCCAGCAAAGGTGCATCTCTGGCATATTCCAGGACTTCTACGTTACAAATCCTGTGTCGTTGAAGGCCCCCAGAATTAGTACAGTGGGAGCCTGAGCAGCCATCGGGCATCGTGATGCGTCACTCAGAGCTGCCCAGCGACCAGGTGCAGTCATCGTGGCCGCCTGGAACCATCCTTCTCAGTCAAGGTGAGTGCGTTCCTCGGATGAAGCTCAATACGCCGTATACAAACATCTATGCTTAACATCTTACATCGGAAGCCGGCGAATCTGCCTCATCGCCTCGGCTGCACCCCGTCCCTACGACCGACCCCGACGACCCCTTGAACTGGTCTTCTCGCCGAAAGACCATCCACTTCACGCTCGTCAACTTTTACGTCTTTCTCAGCTTCGTGCAGCTCGACATTGGCGGCGCCGCCTGGAAGGCCTACCAGCAAGAGCTGCACTTCACCCCCAACTTCCTCAACGCCAGCGTCGCGTACAACTATGTCGGCCTGGCCTGCGGCTGCATCCTGTTCGTGCCGCTCATCTACAAGTACGGTCGCCGGCCCGTGTATCTGTGCAGCGCGGTCCTGCAGCTCGCGGCATGCGTCCTGACGGCGCTGACCCGCAACGAGGGCGACTTTGTCGCGGGCAACCTGCTGACGGGCTTCGGCGGGGCCGTGAGCGAGATCATCGCGCAGGTGACGATTGCGGATGTGTATTTCGTGCATCAGCATGCGGCGATGAATGGCTGGTTCTTGTTTGCGCAGACGGCGGGCGCGACGCTGGGGCCGGTCGCGTCGGGGTATGTTGTGGACGGGCAGGGATGGCGATGGATGTGGTGGTGGTGCGTGGTGCTGTTTGGCGTCAATCTTGTTTTGGTCGTCTTCCTGTTTGAGGAGTCGAAGTACTTGGTTCCAACGCGCTATCAAACGACTGCTGCGCCTTGCGAGGAAACAAGCAAGCTTCCCCTCTCCGACCTCGCCCAGGATGCGCACGTCCATCACCTCGAGTACAACGAGGACAGTTATGCACCCCGGCGCAAGACGTATCGGCAGCGACTTGCCTTTACGACCAAGACTAAAGGCTCTATTTGGCGGGACTTTTATCGACCTTTGATTCCGCTGTTCAAATTTGCCGCCATCGCATACGCTGCCGTCACGTTTGGGACTCTCTCTATCTCCTTTGCCGTCATCTCGTCCGTCATGTCGATTTACTTGTTCGAGCCGCCGTACAATTTCTCTGCGGCCAGTGTTGGGCTCATCAACCTGGCCCTCTTCGTGACTGCCATCCCTTCGCTGCTCTTTGGCGGGTACGGAAACGACCTTGTGATACTCTGGCTTGCAAAGCGGAACCGAGGCGTCTTTGAGCCCGAGATGCGCCTGTGGTTGGCATTACCGATGGCCATCATATGCCCCGGCGGTGTATTGTTGAGCGGGCTAACGATCAGCTATGTGAGTCAATACCCCCGGTCTAAGAGATGCGCACAATACTCATCTGAATACGGCACCAGGGTGGCCCTTGGCCGTTGATCGCCGTCGGGCTGGGCTTGTTTGGCTTTGGCATGAACGTTATCAATGACGCCGCTCTATCTTATGCAATGGATAGCTACCATGAAGTAAGGTCCCGAAATCTGCCACTCTATCGCCATTCTGACTTTTTCCTGCGCAACAGATTATCGGCTCTGCCATGGTAGGGGTTGTTTTCGTGCGCAACGCCGCCTCCATTGGCATTCTCTTCGGCCTTACCCCATGGATTGAGAAGAGCGGGGTGCGCAACGTCAATATTGTCATCTTTTGCTTCTGCTTCGCCGTCTTACTCCTTCCCATCGTGTTGCTCATTTGGGGTAAACGGGCCAGGGCGGCTTCTGCTGCGTCATACAAGAAACTAGCTGAGAGGCAGTTGGCAGCTCGTCGAGCGTAGGGAAGAATGTGCCGGTGAGTTTGTAAGTTGGAGTTTCGAAGCAAGAGAGTACACCAATGTAAATTGAGGAGCAAAGTAGGTACCATTTTCTGTGTGAAAGGCTGGCTGGCTACTGCAAATCATGGATGGCACCGTCTTTGGAGCTGGCCCATCACTTTCAGACGGCGGGATACACAGATACCACAGATTACAGGAGCTGTTCGTGCCTTTGATATATGGAAACCGAAGCTGTTGAGAATTTTCTGACAGGAAGTCGCCGGGCGAATAGCATTTCGAGTTTATGGGTAGGCAAAGCGAAACACCTGAACCCTTTCTCCTTTATGCCGGCGACAGTTATTCCTCGGCCCCTTCCACATTCAGGAAGCATAGGAAATCCCATTTGCTCACATCAACACGGGTGCATGAGTTGTGCACAGCTGATCAATTGTGGTCAAATGAAATGTGGCAGCATAACGTGGTGTGGTATAGGGCACATCCACCAACCCGAGTAGGCTGATCACCCCGCGTCCGCGTCCGCCCAGACATGCGCTTCCTTATCAGCATCCTCCCAACTTGGACAATGTAGATCTGGTATCGATATGGAGGATCTGAGTATCGGACTAAAAAAAAAACATATTTATATCGAAATTTTGTTGATGAATTAGGTAACCCCGTTGCAAAGTCCGAGTGTCGCAGGTGACGGACGGAGAGAGCGGCAGAACAACCGGAGCGGGAAGAAAGCTACTTGCCGACCGCTGAGCCAGCCAGCCACACAACATCCCCAGCTACCGGGTCCGGAATATTTAGAATCACGTCTCCCATCTATTTTCGCCATCTACATCAACAAAAGATCCTACAGAATCTGGGCCAAGCGTACTGTAAACCATTCCTTCTTCCACCTTCTACAAGCCCACTACTACGATGGCGCCTAATAAAGTCCGACCATTCACGCTGGCGGTTCCCCAGCAGGACTTGGATACACTGCGCAAGAAGCTTGACCTGGCGACGTTTCCCGAAGAAGTGAGTTTCTCAGATGTCGGTAAATACGGCGCTCCCCGATCCGAAATAAAGCGACTTGCCGAGTACTGGCGGAACGGGTTCGACTGGCGCGCGCAAGAGGCCGAGATCAACAAGCTGCCTCAGTTCACCACAACCGTCAACGTCGACGGCTTCGGCGACCTCGACATTCACTTTATTCATCAGCGCAGCTCTCGACCAGACAGCATCCCTCTGCTGTTCTCTCATGGCTGTTTGTCTTACCCTGATTCAGGTGCTATACCACGGACTGACACTTGCTGCAGGGCCCGGAAGTTTTCTCGAAGTGGTAAAAATACTGCCTCTCTTGGCCAATCCCGAAAACGGGCCGTCGTTTCATGTCGTCGCTCCCTCGTTGCCCAATTATGGCTTTTCAGACAAGGTCAAGGGCGAAGGCTTTAGCATCTCCCAATACGCAGAGGCGCTCCATAAAGTCATGTTGAATCTGGGCTACGACAAATACGGTGAGTCGTTGGATCTGCAATAATAATGGCAAAAATACTAACAATGAATACGTAGCCACCCAGGGTGGTGATTGGGGGTTCTTCACCACGCGTTCTATTGGCGCACAGTTTCCTGAACACTGCCTGGCATCGCACGTCAACATGCAAATGATCCAGCCTTCCATCTCATCCACCGGATGGTTTGGCTTGTACAAGCTGCTGGGCTGGTTCAACAAGCAAGAAACTGAGGGCCTGGCGCGGTTCGGCTGGTACCTGAAAGAAGGGTCTGGCTACATGGCGGAGCAGAGCACCAAGCCCTTGACCATTGGCTACTCCCTCGCCGACTCGCCCGTTGGACTGCTGGCGTGGATCTACGAGAAACTCAAGGAATGGACCGACGACTACCCATGGACCGACGATGAAATCCTCACATGGGTATCCATCTATCAATTTTCCAAGGCCGGCCCGGCAGCGAGCGTGCAGATTTACTACGAGGCGAGGCACGCAAAGAATGCCGACGCGCGGAAGGCTATGAAGTACGTGGCTGTGCCGCTTGGCATTTCGTCCTTTCCCAAGGACCTTGCTCCCTTGCCGCTGTCGTTCTGCAAGGCACTGGGTCCTGTCGTGTTTCAGAAACGCCACGAGGAGGGCGGTCACTTTGCTGCCTATGAGAAGCCAGAGCTTCTTGTAGGAGACGTGCAAGCAATGTTTGCAGAGGGAGGCGGTGCATATGATATCGCTAAACGGCTCAGAACCAGTGTAGAAAGCTCCCCCTAGGTACAGTACTAGCTCTGCGTTTTTTAGTCGAATTAGGTCAATTTCATCGCCATCCGCTGGCTGTATCACCTATATCCTGTTGAAAATAGTATTTCTTTGTATTTTATTGGTACATGATTCTTTTATATAGGAATATAGCATCAACGTGCTTGTGTATCCGTGTCATATTTACAGCTTCAGTTTTGACTTGGCCATCATCAGTTCCTGGCGAATCGCCAAATCAGCCATAATCTCCTCGCTGCCGCCGCCAACAACCTACACCAAGCGTTAGTAAACGGCTCACTTGTATACGACCCCGCGCCGAACTTACCAGCATGCGCAAGTCGCGACTTATCTGCTCCACGGTGGCGCCCGGGCCGCTCCTCTGGTAGCCGGCGCCGCCAAAGATCTGCTGGGCCTCGCGGGCGGCCAGCTCGACCATCTGGCCGCCCTGGACCTTGAGCAGGGCCAGGCGGCCGGCGACGTCGGGGCTCTGCCAGCCCTCGGGCGAGGTGCCGATGTGGTAGGCGAGCTGCTCCATCCAGGCCCAGTGGGCCTCGACGCGGTGCGCAACCTCGGTCAGCTTGCGGCGGATGACCTGGTACTGCATCAGGGGCTTGCCAAACGTCTCGCGCTGCAGCGCGTACTGGAACGCGAGCGCGAGGCATGTCCGGCTCTTGCGGTTGCACTGCACCGCGAGCAGGAACCGCTCGCGGTTGAAGTTGCGCATGATGATGGAGAAGCCCTGATTCTCCCGCCCAATCAGGTTCTCGACGGGCACCTTGACGTTGTCGAGGTCCACGAAGGAGGCTCCGCCGGCATTTTGCCCGCTGTTCTGGATCTTGTCCACGGTGATGCCGGGCGCGTCCATGGGGATGACGAGCACGGAAATGCCCTGGGCGCCGTCGGCGCCGGTGCGCACGGCCGTCGTCATGTGGCTGGCCCAGGGCGAGCCGGTAATCCACTTCTTGACGCCGTTGACCACGTAGAACTTGCCGTCCGCCGTCTTTTCGGCCGTGGTGCGCAGCTGGGCGACGTCGGAGCCGCCCGACGGCTCCGTGATGCCGAGACAGAAGCTCGTCTCCTTGGTGAAGAGCCCCGGCAGCCACTTGGCTTTTTGCTCGTCGATGCCGAAGTGGATAATGGGCGGTGCGCCGATGGACGAGGCGCCTCCGAGCGCGATGCCGACGCCGCCTTCGATGCGCGACGTCTCGTCGGCAATGATGAGCATGTGGAACGCATCGAGCTGGCCGGGCGGCAGCCCGGACAGGCTCGGCACGTCGGCCGGCCGGTACTGGACCGGGATGTCGTCCAGGCCAATGCCCGACTTCAGCCACGCTTTGGAGGCCTCGACCGGTGCTTCGCCCTTTTCCTCCCACTCGAAGGAATGCGGTAGCACGTTTTCGTCAATGTAGCGGCGGATATTGTCCCGTAGCTTGCGATGGCTCTCGTTGTAGTAGGGAGAGCGGAGGGAGGAATACCAGGCCGGCTCGCTCCAGGGAATATGCGGGCTGAGTTCCAGTTTGGTGTCGGGCGCCATGATGAAAGGGGGAGTGGTGAATGTGTTGTGAAGAGTGTGATAAGTGAGATTCGTTGTGCTGGAGTGAGAGACTCTCGAAGCTATAATAAACTAATAAGAACTATTCGTTACGATTACCGAGGCTCCAGCTCGGTAGGTACCTAGACCCCGCAAAGCCAGTGGCTATACTGGCTATATGCCCTGTGGCTGTGAGGTGTGCGTGCGGGGGAACTTGATGGTCCATTTGGTCTACACGCTAGCTGCGCGGAAGCTAGTCGAATAGATATGTCTAGTTCACCACCGAATCATCTTTCTCTTTCATAAACAGCAGGTCGAGAAGGACGTAGAAATTGCTTAGTTACAGGAGCCGATGTTCCTGCACGCAGCATGTCAAAAAAACAAAAAAGCGAGGGCGATTATTGACGTAAATCACTTGGCATTGTCATTAAATTTACTTTTTGGCGCAACCAGATTTGGCTGATACCCTCACGAGAGGAAAAGTCGCAGTTGAAAACAGGGGAGAAACTCCTCGGTGTATGTCACTGTGGCATCATTTCTCCTTCGTCATGCTTGCATATGTTTTTCCACCTCTAGCAAGCTCTAATCGTATTCCGGCCTAACACTTTTCATCTTCGGACTGAGTGGCCGTTGCTATACGGCTGTCGTGAATACTGCAATGCCAAAGACTACATAGTTACTTCATAAGTGCCACTTGCAGCCTGGTAGAAACGGCATGCAGCCTGCTCATGTCATCTGCAGCCTACTAAAAACTGCCTGCAGCCTGTTCATGTCACCTGCAGCCTCCTATTTACTCTTGAAGCAATACATTCCTTCGGCATGTGCGTTGTCTTTGTGCGCTGTGTCTTAGTCAATGCACGAATCCACGATATAGACGCATCTCACCAACGGCCGCATACTAAATATTGCTCTTCTCGTGTCTTGGATATGCACAGTCTACATCACGGTATTCGTACCCGCCGTTCGAGCCTCCAGATACAGCTTCTCCAGTGCAGATATACCCTGCAGCCGAATAGTCCAGGAGCGCGATAATGTACAGTACTTGTGCAGCTCCGTAGTACTTTAATGTAGGTGCTCTTTACTGCTCACCTTGGGTCTCTTCGAGCGAGCCAATTTCCATTCGCTAATATTCTGCACAGTATCTTATTGTCGTCTGCACAAATCCTACGAGATGTGTCGATATTGGAGCCCCTTCCGCTTGTGACCGAGATTGCCCACCAGGCTCCTATAAAGCCAGCGAGCCAGCCCATTGCCTTCCAAATAGAGAGGTAACAATAAAGTGAGGCAGAGCGTGATCACATAATCAGCCTATTTAAAAGGGGGATCAATCACCATTCGCCACCATGGCCAAGCTTCGCCTTTACATCGCAGCCTTGCACCTTTTACTTACTTCCATCGCCGCAAACGACCTCTTCTTCGTCACCGGCCCAGGCTGCAACCTCGCATCCGGGCACAGCCATTGCTACTCTCCACAACCAGGAAGCTGCTGTACTGCAGGAGCGCCTTTGTAAGTTCGGGCTTCCCCATTGACGTACCACATGTGACATCCTTGGCGCGCCAACACTGAGCCAACACAACCCCAGCTGCGGCCACCTCTTCTGCAACGACTGCCATACAGGCAACGACCTCTACACATTTCCTAGCCAAAGCTGCCGGGGAAAGGCGTACCGCTCGTGCCGCGAGCAGGGTCACGGAAGTCGCTGCTGCGTGGAACTCGGCGGCGGCAAAGGCTGTGCGGCAGAGTGGCACATTGGTGGCGCGCGCAAGAGAAGCATGGACACGAAGGCGCGTGAGGAATGCACGGTGGTACACCACCCAAACCACATGGTCTATTTTGATGAAAACGGTGTGCGAAGGGAGATTTACATGCCCGTCCGCGATTTCTTCAAAGCATGCGCTCACTACAAGAACGAAGAATGGGGCGAGCTGGCCAAGTTTCCCAAGTGGGGTAAGCGCTGTTTTCCCCAACACAAGTCAGTTTTCTCATGTTCATCTGTGGCTAATGTAAATCCTTTGTACAGAAAACCAAAGCTATACCGAAGATGACGACGTGAGCAACATTACTGATAAGAAGGCGTTTTATTCGGTGCCTCCTGAGGAGGATGATCCCCCCGAGACAGAAGATGCGGACAACGAGAATGAGGCGTCCAAAGAGAACGATGCGTCCAAAGAGAATGATGCGCCCAAGGAGAATGACGCCAGTGAGAAGAAGTAAGGGTACAACAAGTGTTGGAGGATGGAGAAATCTTTTCAACAAAGGTTTCGGGGTATGCCCTCGCTACGAAGCAAAGTCCGAACACAAAAAGCTACCAGTAAAGTATAAAAAAACGCTACATAATTTGATATATTTGCGAATAAGCAGTCTTGAGTAAAGAAGTGGTCTGGAATCTGTCGCTATTCTAACAGGGCATTTGCCGTTGAAATACAATGGCATTCGGCCAGACCTCCAGCGAGGCGGGCTTACAGGGTTTATGCCACTACAACGAAAGACCCGAACCAGGGCCTGGTGGCGTGTAAAGGGGGGGGTTGGCGGAGGAGACGACCCGCGATCTTGCATTCAATTCTGCATGCCAACATTTCCACAGCCACGTTCCTCTTTGGGGTCCTACAAGCTGATCTTGACGGCAAGCACGTTCTTGGACATGAAGCCCGTCACAAAGAGCCAAGCCTGTCGCTGGCCGTTGCTCTTGGCGGGGTCTGTCGGAACAAGCACGGCCGCGCTTGCCGTTCTGATGTACTCGGCGTCGTCGTGAAGGAGGAGCTTTGCTTCCCACAGACTTTTGGCTTCGTCGGGGCGGCGTAAAGAGCGGTGTAAGAAGTCATCCTGGAGATGCCACACCATGACGCCGTCCCGGGCATCGACATGTTTGCTGTTGTGCGCCAGGTTGACCGCCTTGGAGAGCCCCGCGAGAACGAAGCCGCTGGCGTCAAAGGTGCTGTTGGCGTAGGGGTCGATAAAGTAGGACGGATTGTCCAGCGTCGACTCGGCCTGGAACGTGTCGGTGACGCGGACGGTGAGCTGGCCGGCCGTGCGCTTGAGGGCGCCAAAGTAGACCTCGCCGCTCGCCGCGCTGACGAGGACGACCTCGTCGGGGGTCCGGCCCCGGCCAAGACCGTTGTTGTTGTGCAGCCCTGTGAGGGCGACGTGGGCCTGGACCAGAGCGGTCTCGTCTTCGGTCGCGCTGGCTTCGAATTCGACGAATATGGTGTTGGACCACGTGGCGCCGGCATACATGTCTTCAATGACCCGCATGTAGCCGTCGCGGTAGAAGTGGTCGTTGGTGACGAGGAATGACGTGGGAGACAGTGCTAGAATGTCATTTGGCATCTGGACCAGGTCGTGTTTGATGGTGCGGATGTAGCGGGCAGTGCTTGTTCCGATGACATGGTGGAACAGCTCGATTACGGAATCGGCTTTTGGTGCCAGCAGATTTTTGGTCTTGTTTGGGCGATGGTTGACGGCAAAGATGAAGACAGCTTCGCCGGGCTGTGCCTTGGGGTCATCGATGATGTCGATGCCGTGGGTGACGAACGGACCGGAGAAGCCCTCAAACTCGAGCCGCTTTGCCTTCATACTCTAGCCATGGGAGTTAGCTTGTCTGTAGAAGCGGCACAAGACGAGCCGGACGCACCTGGGGGTCAATGACGGTAATGGCGCCGGGCGCCTCCACTACTTTGCTTTCATCCTCAAAGATGGTAAGGGGTGGGAACCAGGAGTGCCTGGCTTCCGAGTTGCCCTCGCAGGCGGTAAAAAGCAGGCCACTGGCTAGGTGATGATGAAGATCCTCGCAGTGCGGGGTATTGGGTATTTTGATGGCTTCAAGCCCCTCGTTTGCAATGGTGCTCGCGTCAGTCCGCAGGACACCGGCGATGCGCAGGGTGCGGTAGATGCTGCTGAAATTAATGTAGCCAGCAAACACGGCCGCCAGGACCGCGATAAGAGGCGCGAGGAGTAGTCTGCCTCCTGCCATGATGTCGGTTTTTTAGTTGATTCGGGAGAGCTTTGCTACGGGGAGTGTGTTTATTGTTTGAGGTTTCCCGTGAGATCCGACGAGTCCGTTGCGGGGCTTTTTTCTGCACTTGGTATTCTTATTCATTACCGAGGCTAGAGTAGTTACAGTGCTGAGGCTGGATTTTAGGGCAGACGTCCGTCCCTTGCCGTGTTGAAGAGAGCATATCGATGACGGGTGGAGGAATGGATTAACAGAGACAAAAGTCAAGTGGTGATGAATGAAAAATCGAGGGTTATATCTAAAAGGGGGTTAAAAGTGAATGGGACTTGTTATAATTAGCATTTTGGTCTATTTGTGATGTATGTGTGGCCCTCGGCGGGCTGGTCATGGGGAGTCCCCGCCATCCACGATCTGTGGGGTGACGCAGAGATGCGATGGAGAAATGGCGAAAATATGCTCACCTTCGATAAATAGAGAGATTCTAAGTATCAAATTGTAGCGAAAGACTTGGAGTCGACTACTATTTACTTGCTATTTTTTGATAAAGTTGTTCCATCACTCTTCGCCCCGAGACCATGTTCCGACAGATTGACTCAACCCTCCACTTCACCGTCGGAAATCGCACGACCCGTTCCGAACCGGTCGGCCAAGTATCCCAGCGGGCGCACATTATGACAGGTTAGCACATTATTAGTAGCGGGCAACGCACCGCAAGTTTGCCTGGCGGGCGCACATCAGCGGCAAACGCACCCAAGATGCCGACCCAAGGCGGGGTGGAAATACCACGCTGCTCCAGTAGGTTGATGTTGCCATTTGCCAAAAAAAAAGACTAAATAACGTGCCAACTCTCCTCTGTCACGATAGAAAAAAATTGGACAATTCAGAAGCTGCTTGCCGAGTCCCGTCCCTGTGCTCTTGGAATTTCCCATCTACATTTGCTGCAGTCTTGCTGCTTCGCCGCCAAACTACCTCGACGACACGGGGTCCGTATTAGTCGCTGTTTTTCTTCTCGCAGCAATGTCGGCGACGACGAGCCAGAAACAGGGCGTCCTAGCCTCTGAGGAGGGCAATGATGACGATTTACAGCAGCAAGTTTCTCGTGCTTCCCTTCTCTTTGGTCGCAAGGTCCTCGGAGGTGAATAACTGACCCCGGCGTGACAGATTGTACCCAGTGGTCGACTCCACGCCCACCACGGACGAGGCGAGAATGAGACTCAAGATGGACCTGTATCTCATCCCTCTTGTCAGCCTCATCTACCGTATGAGCAAACTCCGAGTTTAGATCCCGTCGTGCCCCTGCTCATTTTTCATCTGCAGTGCTCGCATTTATTGACCGGTCGAATATTGGTACGTGTTGAGCCAATTCAGAGTTGCCTCAGTCTAACGACAATCCCAGGGAATGCTGCCATTGCCGGCCTCTTGAAGGACCTGAACATGCACGGTTTCGATCTCAGCATCTCCCTCTCCATCTTCTTCATATCCTACATTGTGTTCGAGATCCCCGCCAACCTCTTGTGCAAGCGGATCGGGCCGGCGTGGTTCCTCTCCAGTGCCATTCTCGGCTTCGGCGTGCTCACCATCTGCACAGGACTGGTCCGGTCCTTTTCGGCCCTGTGCGGCGTCCGCTTCGTGCTGGGCATCTTTGAGGCTGGCATCATGCCCGCGCTCGTCTACTACCTGTCGCGTTGGTATACCCATAGCGAACTGACGTTTCGCGTGTCCCTGTTCATCATCTCGGCGGCGCTGGCCGGCGCTTTCGGCGGTCTTCTTGCGTCTGCCATCCTCTCTATACCGCATCTTGGCAGCTTGTACTCATGGAGACTGATCTTCCTCATAGAAGGTATGTGTCGGCGCATCATTTTGATTGCCGTACTGACGCTGAGTAGGCCTAGCATCTTGTGCTTTGGGCATCATTTGCTTCTTCATACTGCCTGACCGACCAGAAACCGCACCATGGCTTTCTGCAGAAGAAAAGGTCCTGGCCAAGGCCAGACTGGACGCCGAGAGGTACACCACCGACGATTCTGTCGCCGAATTCCGCTGGTCCAAGGTGCGCCTGGGCATCTGCAATCCCGTCGTTCTCACCACCACCACCATTTTCCTCCTCAACAGCATCACCGTGTACGGCGTTTCCTTCTTCCTGCCCACCATTGTCAAGACCATTTTTCCGGAAAAGTCTGTCCGCATGCAGCAGCTCCTGACCGTCCCGCCGTACTTTGTCGGGGCCATTGCATGCGCGCTGACGAGCTTCTGGAGCTGGAAAGCGCAGCAACGCGGTGTCTTTATGATCTTCTGCGCGCCGCTGACTGTGGTCGGGTACATCATCTTTTTGGCGACATCAAACCAGCACCTCCGTTACGGGGCGACGTTTTTGCCGTTTCTTGGAATATTCACGTACGGCGCGCTGACAAACTCGCACGTCGCGGCCAATGTGGCCTCGGACACGGCCCGGACTGCTGCCATTGCTGTCAACGTCATGGGCTGCAACATTGGTGGCTTGGTGTCGGCATGGGCCTATGTGCCTTCTGATTCTCCTAATTATAGAATCGGTAATGGGCTTAATTTGGCGGCACAAGCATCCATGATTGTCATTGCGACCGGTCTCTACTATTGGATCAAGTACGATAATAAACGCCGAGACGACAGACAGGCAAATCAGCCTGAAGACCTTGATGTACAGGACATGGACACGTTGGACTGGAAGCATCCCAGATTTAGGTGGCGTAAATAGCAAGCACACGCGTAAGATTGTGAAATCTATCGAAGCCATGTAAAAAACGTTTAAAAAATCCATGCAACATGTCCTTCATCAAAGTCATATATAAAAACGGGAGGGGGCGTTGATTGGCCCCAATAGCAAATTACTGGACATTATTCTGCTTGCGGCCCTTGATGTCGTACCGGTCGAGCTCCATGACTTTGGTCCAAGCCTTGATAAAGTCATCGGCAAACTTCTGGTTGGCGTCGCTGGAAGCGTAGACCTCAGCCACGGCGCGGAGCTCAGGTTGAGAGCCAAAGATGAGATCTGCACGAGTTGCCGTGTACTTGACCTCGCCACCCTCAATGCTAGTTGCCTGGAAGAGCTCCTCGTTACTGTCTGCCACTGCGGTCCAAACGTTGTTCACGTCGAGCAGGTGCACAAAGTAGTCGTTGGTGAGCTGACGAGGGCGCTCAGTGAAGATGCCGTGCTTGGAGCCGTCAAAATTGGCATCGAGGGCGCGAAAGCCACCAATGAGAACGGTCAGCTCAGGCGGGCTCAGAGTCAAAAGAGCGGCCTTGTCCACAAGCAGCTCCTCGGTGAGGGCAAGGGTGGTGCCCTTGCCGAAGTTGCGGAAGCCATCGGCCTGGGGCTCGACTGGCAAGATTGTCAGCAAGAAGTAGTCGGAGCGAGATGTTAATACGTACGGAATGAAAAAGCAGTCTCGTCAGTCTGATCCTGGGTCGCGTCAACACGACCGCCGGTAAAGGGCACGGTAACAGTGAGACCGGCGTCAAGAGCGGCCTTTTCGATAGCAGCTGTGCCGCCAAGAACAATGATGTCCGCGAGGGAAATCGGCTTGCTCTTGTTGCTCTTGTTGTACTTGTCCCTCACTCCTTGCAGCTAAAGTAGTTTGACAGTCAGCGGTCAGGTTCATCGGTGCAGGGTGATCGGAGGACACATACAGCGCTGATGACAGCTTTCAAACGATCCGGGTTATTGGCAGCAAAGCTGTTCTGGGGCTTGAGCGCGATACGGGCACCATTGGCGCCGCCACGCTTATCCGAGATGCGGAACGTCGAGGCCGAGCCCCAAGCGGTAGTCACCAGGTTGGAAATGTTCAGCCCAGAGGTTGCGAGAATGTCCTTCTTGAGCTTGGTCAGCTCGCGACTGCCGGGGGTCTTCCCAGTGGCAGCAGGCAAGGGGTCCTGCCAGATGAGAGGCGCCTCCTTGGGAACCTCAGGGCCCAGGTAGCGTGCCTGAGGCCCCATGTCGCGGTGGAGGAGCTTGAACCAGGCAAGAGCAAACTTCTTTGTAAGATAGTCAAAGTCGCCGAGGAAGGTCTGCGAGATGTTCTTGTACACGGGGTCATTGATGAGAGCAAGATCACTCGTGAGCATAGTGGGCTTGTGGAATTTGGCAGGGTCAAAGGGATCAGGGTGGGAAGCATTCGCGTCGACAGCCTCCCACTGCTTGGCGCCGCCAGGGCTTGTCACAAGCGTCCATTTGTTGTTCAGGAGGGAGCCAAAGAAATCTAGCCATCATTAGTATAGGGAAGAGGCGGTCAAGGGCGGTGGAACGTTACCATTTGTCCACTTGGTGGGAGTTCGCGACCAAATAACCTCGAGACCACTGGTGAAGCTGTTGTTTCCGACGCCGGACTGGAAGCTGTTCTTCCAGCCGAAGCCTTGTTGCTCAAGAGGAGCGGCATTGGGGTCCGGTCCAATATTGTCGGGCGCAACGGCACCGTGCGTCTTGCCAAAGGCGTGTCCGCCAGCAATGAGAGCAACAGTCTCCTCATCGTTCATGCCCATGCGACCGAAAGTCATGCGGATGTCTTTGGCAGAAGCAACAGGGTCAGGGTGTCCATCAGGACCCTCAGGGTTGACATAGATCAGGCCTAGGTATTCCCGTTAGTACATGGAGAGGACCAGTGAAGCTGTTCCGACTGACCGAGATTGGTGGCGCCAAGAGGGCTCTCCAACTTGTCGGCACGGGCGTTGAGGTCTGTGCTGGCGTTGTAGCGGTCCGCACTGCTCTTCAGGCTGGGGAAGAACTCATGCTCGCTGCCCCAGTAGATGCCTTCGTCGGACTGCCAGGTATCGACGCGGCCAAAGGCGAAGCCGTAAGTGGGGAAGCCCATGTTCTCCATGGCCACGTTGCCGGCGTAGACGAAGAGGTCGGCCCAGGACAGGGCGCTACCGTACTTTTGCTTAATGGGCCAGAGCAGCCGACGGGCCTTGTCCAGGCTGCCATTGTCCGGCCAGCTGTTGAGGGGCGCAAAGCGCTGCTGGCCCATACCGGCGCCGCCACGGCCGTCAATCATACGGTAGGTGCCGGCATTGTGCCAGGACAGACGGATCCAAAAGGGGCCGTAGTTGCCGAAATCAGCAGGCCAAAACTTTTGCGAGTCGGTTTGCAGCTTGGTCAGATCCTTTTTAAGTTGGGCGACTAGGGGGCACACGGAGTTAGAAGGCCCATCTCGTGTCAAGGTTCATCGGGGCGGCTCACCATCGACCTTGGTAAAGGCAGCAGCGTAGTCAAAGTCTGCGTCAAGAGGGTTGACCTTGTCTGCGTTTTGGCGCAGGACAGCTAGGTTCAGCTGGCAGGGCCAGAAATCAGCACTTCGCGTGCCGCCGCCGGCGGCTTTGCTGTTGCGCGAGCACCGTCCAAAGTCGGAGGCACCATTGGCACGACGCTCGATGATTGCCTCGGGGTGTTGTATGGGACTCGCTGAGCGAGCGTTTCCTTGAATATATGGGCAGGAGACTGCTGTGGTGAGTGGCAGCACACTCAGTGCGAGTGCTAGAAGATTGAGAGAGGGCATTGTGAGTAAATGGCACACACAATCGACAGTGACGCAGACAGGGGGCGCCGACGGAAAGCATCTTTATATATACCTGGTCGTTCGGTGTACCAGCAACCCTGACCAGCTACCTCTTGGACCAAAGACCATTCCATGGCAACGCCGTCATGGATGGCACCAGACAGACCCCGTTTTCCTGCATCTACCAACGGGGGGGCAATTAATGCCGATTCTTGCTTGGCCGCCCCGTGGTAAGAGGGGAATTTCTATGCGCTCCAGCATCGGCATCCCACACAGCACCCTGCAAACCAAAACAAGCTCCACACAAGCCTAGCAGAGCCTGTTGGTGTACAGATTACTACGGAGTACAGAGATGCAGGTGCGCGATATCACACTGGAAAGGGGTCCGCTAGCAAATTAAGGCCAGAAATAGTACTACGCAATCCCGTCGTACGCAACGTGATAGTTAGTTCCGGACTGTTTGCCGTGCATGGCACATGCATACATACGAGAAGGCTGGGCGGACAAACACGCCGAACAAGTCGGCAGCCGGTTCCACTAGAGTCGTCAGTTTTCACTTGCCCTCACCCAGCTGCTAGTTACTGTGCCAATTTCCTGGGCCTTCCCATGGCCCCTCTGCGGATGTGGCGGCTTCGATCGCCAACTGGGGGATCTGAAACCTCGAGAGGAGGATAGGGCGAGGGAAGGCAAGTGTTTAGCCGGCAAGTTCATGCAAGAATGACAGATACTTGTTGTACGTCCGGAGTTGCGCCTGTCCCTGCCAATGTGACAGAATCCACTGGGTGTTGTGATCAGCGAGCCATCACAACGAACTACAGATAACGGATACCACCTTCCTGTAGTTACTCGGCATCGTCAGTACTGGGATTGTATGTACATAGCGCGAAGCCTCGTCAGACTGTTGTGGATATGTTGAGATCCCGGGCTGCTGTAATTGTACCGGTGAGTCTGATGCTGCCGACCGGGCCGCACGTTGGGCGAAGACGAAGAAAAGAAGAGACAGGAAAATGACCTTGCATTGGAATCATTGACCCACTGCTGTCCCCCGCTGACCCGCAATGTAAGGCCATTTCAGGAGCACATTATTGGCTACGGAGAACAAGCATGATGAAAGAAGAAGCTAGCGACTCTATCATGCGTTTAGACCCCGGATCCCCCAGAAGCAACAAAAGGTCCAGGCGACTCTGTAGAATTTCCAAATCAGCTACGACAGGATTGTAAGCCACTGATACCAAGGGGCTGGCTGAATGCCGTAAAGGGGATGGATGAAAATACAAATCTTTAGCCTCCTCCCTTTCTCTCCCGCGCATTGTCGACAACGCTCGCACAATGTCACAGACCATTTCTGTCCGTGTCACCTGAAGAATGCCTATTCCTGGTGCACGAACAGGGCATGCTTGCTCTTGGCAACGAGGATACTACGCCCTCTCAATCTAATAATGTGGCTATCCGTATACATACATCTCTTGGCCGCCGTGCATGCTGGCGCTTACGCACCCAATGAGCCTCGACGAATTGCTTCCTCTTCTTCACAAGTCATCCGAGTGGCTGGCACTGCGTCCATTGGTGGCGGCGATGAGGGGGGCAGAAAATCTCGATTTAGCCACGGGCAGCAATCATCACACCACTGAGGCTGGGCGCGGGTGGAGTTGTATACAGGCGGATCGGCATCCCATTGGCAGCTTCGCGACCTGAATTGATGAGCCCACCCCTCGGCACCGAATCCATCGATACTGCAGAGAAAAAAAGAACGAGGGGGAGATGCCCAGACAAGGCAAGACATGAGAAGACGGTCGAGAACGTTGGCAACGTTGAAGATCCTTCGGCTACAAAGTAGCTAAGACCACTCAGCACTCAGCCACCACTGTTGGGTAAGCATGGACTTTGGCCGAGCAGGGAACGTAAATAGCACAACAAATTTGGACGAGGCTATGTATCGGCATGCAATGAACAGCGTGCGCGCTCTTGCCTTGCTGGTTGGTGCAAAGATCTTTTGCATTCAGCCTGAAAGCTCGCTCGCCTTTCAGTCGTTGTTGCTGTTGTTGTTGTTGTTATTGTCATTCGAGTCCTTCGGTACCTCTATAATAAATGACATGTACTGGTACTCTATATTACATATGCTGAGACACGGGAGAAAAAAAACTAGTTGAAACTTGATTAGAATCTGTTGATAGGTCTCGTTTTCGACCTACCTATCATAATGCGGATAGTCCCTATTACAGATAGTACGTTAGGTACAGAGGTACAGTGGTACAGTGTTTGTATTGAACCTCCCACGGGCGGCCTACCAACGGAACAATTATCCGCCCCCACGTCCTACCTAGTTGCTCGTAAAATTGTTCCACGGTTTCATCTAAAAAGTGACAGATAAAGACGCGTGACAATGAACCTGAAGAATGCGGGGAAAACCTAAAACCCTTGAAACAGCAACTTAAAATCCTTGAAAAGATTTTCCTCCTTGTCTTCAACAGACGATCCAAACTTTACAAAACATCAGGTCGCGTGGCAGCCTGGAGACAGTCCGGCTATGGCTCTGCTCGTCTGCGATATTCTGTGCGTCCCGGTCCCTCCAGAGCCAGCGCTGCGAGCTTCCAGATTACAGATCAGAAAATGCAGAAAGGATTATCAAGCAGCGGGAATAAGGCCGAATTACAGAGAACGACCTCGTCCATTGTCATGGTTCCGACTCGCGTGTGTAAGAGGTGGGTTACTTATGCCACCCACACTTTCGCCCCCTTTTTTCTCCTGAATGTCACAAGCTGTAACATCGACAGTCCGATATTGCGATCCGGAGCAAAAGAGAAGACGAGATTGTTTGACTTTTCCTTGGTGCGGGCGAACTTCCGCTTTTCCGAGCTCCCTCTCCAGTTCTTGACGTCATCGTCTGTTTAACTTCATCGCCCGCGCCTCACGCTCACTTGTTCCATGGCACGACGAGCCAGCTCTCAGAGGTATGCACAAATGCCCTCTTCAAGATGAATACCATTAAAGGTCCCCTTTCTCTCCATAACATCGCTAGCAAGGCCTCCCTTGACAGAGATGTAGCACTAGAGCGATTTTCGCCTTTTGCGGTATTTGTGCCGGTTGCCCACACGTAGGCTATGGTCTACGTGTTGGGCTGTCTCAATCAGTGAATACACTGGATTATAGACAGCATACTTAAGAAATATCTTGTCCTGTAGTTATAGACCAAATGACAGTGGTTTCTATTCATTCACCAAATTCCCACCAACGTGAAAACAATGTTATATATTGCCCTTTTTTTCGTCTTCCATGTACTTGGGGCTGAGGCAGCCCTCCGTCGCTTCAACTTTACCCTGCACAGCGCTTCACGTTTTCCAGGCACGCCTACATTCCCAGCGTATACTTTCTCAAAACTAACTGGCCGCATAGATGGATTCGAGCGACAAGTATATCTCATCAACGGTCAGCAGCCGGGTCCATTGATTGAAGTAGATGAGGGTGACGACATTGAAGTAGCCGTCCAAAATGACCTCGAAGTCGAAACCACGTTGCACTGGCATGGTGAGCCTGTTCTATCCCTGGGCCGAATCTGACAAGGGCCGCTGAAACAACTTCATCAGGACTACTACAGCGAGGAAGCCCCCATATGGATGGTGTACCAGGTGTCACGCAGGTGAGCATCGATTCTTCTGCGACGGCCGCACATCTCATGCAAGGCTAACGCTCAGTGCTTCTGTAGGACCCTATTCCCGCAGGCGGAAACTTTACCTATCGCTTCTCAACTCAATCTGAGTACGGATTCTACTGGTACCACTCGCATTTCCGAACATACTACAACGATGCAATCCGAGGTCCGCTTCTCATCCGACCAGCCGCGTGGCGCCAACGCCCGTTTGAGGCCGTCGCTCGAAATGACGGGGAGAAGGCTGCACTTGTTGAAGCCGAGCGACAGGCGACAAACATATTGCTCAATGACTGGACGCACGAGCTTTCCGACGTCATATTTGCTCGGTATACCAGAACCGGCGCCTTTCCATCATGCGTCGACAGCATCTTGGCCAATGGCCTCGGCAGGGTCGAATGCCTCCCAAAAGAGGTACTTGAGGCAGGGCCTGGGCTGGGCATTCCAACTCCATCAGGTGCACCAAGCATGCCAGATATGCCGAGCATGGGCCTCCCCAAGGGACGAGCCATGCACGACATGCCGATGGATTTGTCGGCAAGCATGCCGATGACAGCAACCACAAGTATGCAGTCGGCGGTGCAGACTGCGTCAGGCATGCCAGAAATGCCGAATATGGATACTCTGGGCCCTCGCGGGTGCATGCCGCCCATGATGTTCAAACCTGGATTCAACATGTCCTCGTTGCCACCCGAAACCTGCACTAATACCAGCTCACCGTTGCTCGTCGTCCCTGCTAATCAGACCACAGGTTGGCTGGCGTTGAATTTGGTGAACTCGGGCGCCGTCAGCGCTTTGCGCGTCTCCTTGGACGGCCATTCCATGCTGGTCTACGCAGCAGACGGCCTCTACGTTGCGTTGCAACGAGTAAAGGTCGGTACGGTACGGTCTTTCAGAAAGTTTCTCAGCTGACGTGGTATTCTAGGTCCTTCATATGGAATTGGGTCAGCGATATTCGGTCATGGTCAAGCTGGACCAGCAGCCAGCGGATTATTATCTGAGCTTCGCGACGTACCCCAGCGGCGATATGCAGCAAGTCCTAGAAGGGCGTGCGATTGTAACCTATACTGTACGCAATTGTACCACATATCCTATGCCATGATTGTGCGGCATGCTGATCTGTTTCTTAGGCTGGGAGATCTATAGGTGGTGTCGTGGATGACGCTGCCCAAACCTGGATGTACATCAACGGATCAGCCAAACTCGGCGCAGCACGCCTTCAACCACAGGACCTCGCTCCATTCGAAAAAGCAAGCAGTGCTCCGCCAGACGGGCCAGCTCATAAAACTTTGTCGTTTGTCATCAATCAGACAGACATTGTAACTTGGGTACTTGACCGCGCACCGTTCAAAGAACCGCAGATACCTGTGATATACGGTAATGTATCGTCTGGCTGGACCTCGAATACGACAATGCGCTTGCCTCTCAACTCCACCATCGACATCATCCTGAATATCTCGAATGATTCCATGGATACGGTATGCTACACAGGCATGGAAGGTATGCCTTGACTTTGCTAACTGCGAAAAAGATGGGCCACCCATTGCATCTTCATGGTCATAAATTTTGGGTCCTCGGCTCTGGCACTGGTTCATTTGCATTTCCTTCTGTTCAAGATGCGCCTACAGGAATGTTGAATCTCGTCAATCCGCCATTCCGCGATACGACAGGTTTGCCTGCGCAAGGCTGGGCTGTCATACGGTGCGTATTTTGCCTGCCGAATGAGAAAGAGGCTATGGTGACTTACATATCTCGTCAGCTATATTACCGACAATCCTGGTGCGTGGATATTCCTGCCACTTACAGTGGCATATTGTTGTAAGTACAGAATGCACATTTGACATGACGCAACTAATAGTCTGTTCGAGGTTGGCATGGCCGTGGTTCTTGTGGAGGGGCAAGACCAGCTGCCGGCTTTGGTAGGGCAGTACAACAAGACCGCACCTCCGGATCGAAGTGGGGGAAACCATGTAGCCGCCGGACCTGGAAGCTACCTGTGGCTTCTCGTCGCCATTGTGGCGGGCATCGGAACGTCTCGTGAGAGTTGGCTCAGTTGGTTTATGGACAGGTATTCAAGAGAAGGTTGATGGAAGCCCGGCTCAGTGGGGAATGAAGCAGCACTGTGATTGAATGAGAGTCCAAAGTAGTCAACGAACAATGATTGGAGAAGTATTTTAGCAATTGATTATTAATATAGAAGGAGTTGATTAATTAATTTCTCTCCTGCTCTATTTTGGGTCGCTTTTGGTGCTTGGTGACAGTTACAGTGGAGCTTGTCCCCCAAGGTCCCCAAAGCTGTCAATAGGATACATCATCACCTTTACCTTACACTCACTATCAATGTCCTTGAAATAAATGCCGCCCTTGCACGATGCATTGTCGAACCGCCCTCTCCTTTCTGGCCTCCTCCGCCATCCCCCTCGCCGCTGCCACTGCTGTCCCATTCGGCCCTGGCAAAACCCACGCGGAAAACAACGCGCACAGCATCTTCAACTCAATCCACTCGGCCGGGCGGCAATGGGGCTCGAGCATCAACCACAACGGCTTCGCGCTCATCCCCGGCCTCATCCCGCGCGGCTCCGTCTTCTATCATGCCGCGGCGACACCTACGTGGCTCGCGAAGGGACCTGCGCGGCTGGAATTTGAGCCCGAAGCCGCCGAGGCCTTTGCCGCCGACTGGTTCGACGGCTGCCGATCGCCCGGCGACGGCGAGGCGTTCCCCGGGGACCGGCCCAAGGGGCCCGGCTATGTGCACACGTACAGAAACAGGCGCGACCTCAAGGTCCTCCTGGCTGACGGCTTGTCGGCAGGGCAGACGAGCTACGGCACGCTCGACACGCAGGATGTCGTCCTGCTCGAGAACGCGACCCTCGCGGGGGACGCGTGCGAGGCGGACCGCCACCGGGCGCAGGCACTCTGCGACGTCGTCCAGCCGTGGGGCTACGATGGCGTTGTCAGGGCCGGGCTCGGCTTCGAGCTGCTCCTCTGCAACGTCACCGGCACCATCTGGCAAATGAAGGTGAAGCGCGCGCTCTCCGCAGACCATAAAATCGGCGACGGCGGGCTGCACATGGCGCAGTGGGTGCGCGCCGCCGCGCAGCGCTACGATGGCCTCGGGGCTCGACTCAAGCTCGATTTCTCATCCATGGTGTCGGGCTTGTTCTATGCCATGAATACGACAAATCCGGATCCCGCACACCCCGAGATGAAGCGCCTCGCCGCCTCGCCGCTGGCGCATCTCCGCGTCATGAAGCACCGCGTCGGGGAGATTGCGCGCGCTGACTTCCAGACATTTCTGATTGACTGGCGGTATATTGTCGACACCATTGTCGAGCGCTTCGCCGAGCGGCTGGTGGCCATGGCGGATCCGCACGTCGACGACGCGGCCTTTGTCGACGAAATCGAAGCCGCCGCGCTGACATACATCGACGCCACGGCTCTCGAGAGTGAGGGTGACGCCATCGATAAATCCATCAAAGACTGCATGGATCATTACTTGTACCCCGCTCTGCCCTTTTCCCAGCGCTGGAACGAAGCAGATCATATGCTCTACCACGCCGTCATCACCGTCCTCTCCGACGTCTGCACTACCCTTATTCGCGGCTGGTCCGATCTCGTGCACGCGTCTTCCGCCGCACACATGAGCAGTCACGCGCAGCAGCGCGCGGCCCTCGATGGGGTCAAGGCGCAGGTCAAGGAGCTGACGACGCGCCTGGCCTGGACGACGTGGCGCAGGACGCGCGCCTGTGCGGTCAGTCAGGCAGAGATGGTCGCCATGTGGCCCTATGGTGACGCCGAGGATTACAAACACCCGGGATGCCGCGCCAGAAGTCAGCTCAGCACAGGTAGGACGGGGTACTGGGGTGGGAGCCGCCTAGATGTCACCGGAGAGGCGTCGCTCACTTCGCCATCCGAGGAGTTATAGAGTAATGATACGCTACCATTTAAGCTATAGAGTAAGTTATAATATTTTTAAGCTATAGAGTATTAAAACAGGTTTTCAATTGTCCTGAACCATATGTTCCAATTGTAGAATTAATAGATTATATAAATTATATAAATTGTACGAGTAGATTCTGGTCGTCTGACAGGTGGGGGCCGGCGTGTAGCCTGGATTACGTTGCTGCCTGCTGCATTGTCATCCTCCAACCCACCTAATTCATCCTGCCTGTTTCTCTCTTTCTCACTCATCTGTCCAGCGCTAATTACCTACACGACAACGTTCTCTATCATCTCACCAGAGGTCTTCATCATGGGTAAACCATCCAATGTCCCCCCTCCATACACGGACGGCAACAACCAGGCCACAACGCCGCTCGTCGAAGGCGCCAGCTCCATCTCGATGCATCACACCAACCAAGCCTCGCCACAGCGTCCACAGTACTCCGACAACGACTTCGACGACGGACCTCTCCACGCCGATGATGATTTACCGCCTTTGTATAGCGATCACGACATCGATAGCGTCGCCCCCGCCGGTACTCTCATCCCTCCCGGTGTACCCAGCCTAATCGTGGCCCCGTTCCGCGCCTCGGACAAGAGCGGCAAGACATATTTTCTCGACAGACGGCTCGATACAGACCCAGTGTTCTTACAGCAGCAACTCGAAATCCTCGCCGAGAACCCGCCGCGACCGCTGTGCAATGTCCGGGGCACGCACACGGCAACTCGTCGCCGCGACGACAAGGAGGAGCAGCACACCGTGGTCGACTTTGACGTCGAGATAGAGCTTACTGGGCTGCTCTATACGGATGCACGTACTGGGTCTTCATGGAGGCAGCTGACAACGGTCGGCAACTTTGAAAAGGTGCGCCGCGGGACCATCTTGGCGAAACGCGCGCCAGGGTTCGGCGGCAGTGGCGGCCAGACCGCCGAAAGCGGCACGCCGACAGTCGAAGAATGGTGTCACCGCTACTGTGCCAGCTCAGCTGGGCTCAAGAGCTTCTCCCTCGAGCGCCGTGTCACGGGCTGGGACTTTGAGCGTCTCGAGCAGCAACTGCACAGGCTGGTTCGCGAAACCAACTACCAAGGCCACATGCAAGTGACTTTCCCTGTGCACAACAACCGAGTCGAAATCTACAATGAGTGCCGGACGAGTCGATGGCGTCTGACGAAATGGATCGAAATTCTCTGCTACGTGACGCTCACCTTTTTATTTTTGTGGCCGTGGCTCTTTTTCCGCACAAAGCGCTGGGAGACGGTGTACGTGGCGTGGCCGTTGCGCGACCCGCAGACCGGGCGGTACGCAAGCCTCAGCGAGGACGAGTGGTTCAACATGTGGGCGCGCACGATCCAGACGGCGTGCCTGGCACGGCGACAAGGCATCCTCGATCAGGGCGACCTCCAGAGGCAGGACTATCTCGGTGACAGGGCAAGCGGGGGATTTGCCGGTGCCGTGCAGGCGGGCGTGGATGCCATGGGTGTGGTGAATCGTAGCTTCGGCTGGGGCGGCGATGACGACCGGCGTGGAAGCTCTAACAGACGCAGCGGCCTCCCAAACCTGGGGAGAAATCGATGCTGATGATGTCTGGAATCCAAAACCTTGATGAATGAACGTGTAGCAAGAACCTCTTAGCGTATAGCGTATTCTCCGACTTTCAAATGGATAAAACAGGTTGACATGGTATTGTTTATGATGCAGTGCCTGGTTTCACTTGACTTGTACTATAGTTTGAATTTCGGTTGTGCGGATTGTGTATGTATTCAGACTCAAACACCTTTTCCCAGCAAAGCTCAAGGCTAGGTTGATGGACAGCCCCACCAATCCACCCCGCCATATCCTGTCATCCCATAATCACTCTTGAACGTCATTTTGTCAACACTCACAATCTGTTTAGCGCCCCTGGTTTTGTCAAAGAATGGACATTAAAAATCCAAGAAGAGCACTCGCCATCAGTTTACAGGCTGACGAGGAGCATCTCAGCCGCATCATCCACGGTATTGCACCCAGCCCTACCTCTCTGTGGCGAAACGCGCTGATACCCTACACCCGCGTCCACCCAGAGAGAGCCATTTCACCAGAGTGTCGCTCTACGCACTGTAAATGCACACATGCTAATACTGACATGACAGACATTACGGGATCCAAACCCATACCCACAGAAGGCTCTCTCGCTGGCATAACGCACGACCTAGCCCTGAAAAACAAGTACTACACCACTACGGTGCCGATATGGCTGGACCTTCTCGCCTCGCCGTCCGAGTGGGCATCGTCCTTCCTATCTGCCGAAGCGGCTGAAGTCCTTGGCGTCCTCGGCGGCCTCCTTCTTGTCTTCGCCATCCCAGAACCTACCGCGTCCACGGCTGCGCCAACGAGGCAGCTCATCCAGCAGGTCGGCACCGTCGTGTGCGACGGCCTGGGCGGGTGGGAGTGGGACGGCGTCAAGCTGGCCATTGGCGTGGGTAGTGCGCTGGATGTGGACGAGTGGGATGAGCTGTGCGCCGAGGCTGGATTGGAGTTTGTGCAGGTTGGCGGAGGCGAGAACAAGCTACAGCAGTTTGGCGGTACGCGTTCATCAGACACGCGACCCCCCAGGGTAAATCAAGCTGACCATGGAAAATGCAGAAAAAAGTGGCATCTCTCGGGTCAAGGAAGCTCTAGAGGCAAACGACTGGGACCTGGGCTCTGCTGATGAGCTGCCCTCTGACGTGGAAAAGAGGATGCAGACCTCGGAAAAAGCCCTGGACCCAGAAGACATGGAGTTCGGACTTGGGGAGGTCGATCTTGAGATTTTGAAGGCGACGCTCTTCTCTAAGAAGGGCTTGGAAGACGAGGCAGAAGTACAAGAGGCAGAAGAAAAAGAGCAAGGGGAAAAACAAGGAAAAGCCAAAGAGGAGGGAACTATTGACGACGAGGAAGTGGCCAAAGTGGAGGCCATGATGCGCAAGCTCCAAGCTGCGCGCGAAGCAGGTGAGACCATGAGTGAGACGCAGCGGCGGAAACTGGCCGCCAAGGCGGTGGAGGAGGTGATGCGAGAGCTATAACGCCAACCAGCGAGAGCGAAAATTGACGACATATAAGAAAAGAAGTAACACGCACATTCTGGAAAATAATAGAAACAGTGCAATTACGCTTTGTTTGCCAGACGTCAGCAGTGAGGCAAACAACCCCGAGCGCTGCTTTTCTCGCGGAAGCAGGCATAACATGGTGCGGAACCAGTGCGTGACTGAGTGGCGTGAACCACAGTGTAGTTACACTTTGTTAGTTAATTCCAGAAGGAAGGAGAAAGAAACGGCCAAAAAAAGAACAAATCCAGTTTGGGGTCCTCCGGGCTCCCCCCTTGTTGTTGGCCGGAAGATACTGACGCGGGGATCAGTGCGTTCCCGGCCTGGTCACCCTGGTCACCCGCCGGGGCATTATCGCGGACCGGGCATTCGGTAGCTTGCCACTCGGGTTGTGAAGAGGTTACATCGGATCCAGTGGCGACTTGCGAGTAGCAAAAACTCATTTGCCCACGTTGGGCGTTTACGCTGAGCCATTCCCGCGGGTCGAGCTCCTTGGTGAGATGCTGGCCGCCTTGCTGCAGATGCTCGAGGACTGCAAGGTTCTAACCTGTGAGACGATTCTCCAGTAACAAAGTATTTAAGCGGCGCGGAGAACTACGAAGAGCTTCGAATACAACAGTTACAGTCTACAGTACGACTTTTTTCTTCTTTTTTTTTCGCTAATGAATAGTGCTTCGCCGCAATCGGAGTCGCGGCATGGCGATGCTTGTGTCAATATGTGCTTGGGTCGAAATGTGCAAATGCACAACTCTATCAAGGACACCAACCACTGGACAAGTGCATTGGGAAGTGACTGGACGGGAATAATGGTATGAAAGCTGCCTTGATTTCTTCATGTGCAGCTCGGCACGGATAATAAGTACCGAGGCGCACACATCGGCGTGGCAAGGCTTGAGAACGCCTCCGCAGTTGGCCGACCGTCGAGCAGGGCTCTGGGATAGTCAGAATCTGGGGGGGCCGCTGCTGCAGGGAACAAGCTGATGACAGGGAAGAAGGGTCATCAACCAGGGCTAGGGGAAGAAGGGAACCACGCTACCAGTACGCGATCAAGGAGAGGGCCGTCACCTGTGTCACTGATCGCCCAAAAGCAGGCCTGCCAGTTCAGAGACACAAGCGAGCTGTGTGAGACACTACGATTTCACTCCAAGTGATTTTTTTTAAGTACAACGTGGTACACGAAACAAAGAGTGTTGCTGCGCTGGTACACGAAAAAAATCGTTAGTTGCAAACATCATGGCCAATGACATTGTTAATGAAGGTGGCTGTGACGGCAATGATAGGGGGGGGGGGATGGGAAGAGAGGATCTTTCGCAGAATCGAGTAACTTGGGTAGTCACAGCGCCTGAGGACTTTGCGCCATTTTTCAATATCAGCTGTGATATTGCAAACGACCCGATGGATTGACAGACGTCTTGACCAGGGGTGAAGGCATCGATCAGATTTAGTAGGACCGCGCATCGTTTCGGTGCAGTTCCATACGAAGACACCAGAACCATTCGGAAAAATAGACTGCCTTAGCTAGAAGTATGCAGGGTCGAATCAGTTGTATTCGAGATCGTGATTTTGCCACAAACTTCGTCTCATCGGATAAAGTCAATACCAGGAGTTATTCCTCGGGAGGGGGGACGCTACTGGTGGTCGGGGCCAGGCACGGCCGACCTGTGGTTGGCTGACGAGGCAAGGCGCGTCACTAGTCAGGGGTAACGACCAGTCCAGGCTCCAGAGGTCAAGAAGAGGGAAAAAAGGCTTTGGTGGTCAGACTAGGGTGTGTACAGAAAAGCATAAAAAGAGGTGTCGGTGTGACGGGGTTGTGGTTGTGATGACGAGGCAAGGAGGCTGTAAAGGGGTATAGGCCAGCACCTCTGTCCCTACCGTAGCAGTATGGACGTTCACAGAGTTAGGCTTTGCGACAAAAAAAAGTACGTTGCGCGCGGTAGCGAAGCAAGAAAAGAAAGGGGAACCTGCTTCACTTGTAGATGCGTTGCCCAATGATTAAAGTTCATAACCCGCAGCGCAACGAGAAGGGTACGGCGGGCTTCGGACGGATAGTTGCTTGCTCTTTGAATGAAAAAGTCCACGTGAGACCGCCGCGTTGCGCAAGCCAAGGATGGTTTGTGGAGAGGAATGTTTAGCGTGAGGAGGGCGGCGATGTGCGCTCTATGTACTTACTAACTATTAATAATACTGGTTATGCTTGGTTGCCAAGTTGGCGGTCACTAATTTGTACTTTGTAGACGTATTATTATTACCGTGGGTAGTCATCAAGTTACCAAAATAGAGCCATTGTGTTTTGTACCGTATCAGGCGACGTCCGCTCAACATCGGTGCTGGTAATTCGTACCTGCGGCGTTCCTCCAGCTGCTGCAGGAACTGGTGCCTCGCTGCGTGTCTCTTACTTGGCGTGGTGATGCATATCCGTACCCTGTTTGCATATCAGTTGCCCCCAACTAGTCATGCGGGAGGCTTGCGGTTTCACCTGCCGCGCTCATCATCTGTTATCACGTCGGGCAGCCGAATCTTAATAAGGAACAGCGATCCTTGGTCCACGTTCAAGATGGGGACCGGCCAAGGCATTACTCGCCATTGCTTTACGGTGGCGGACACTTGACACCGTATCCAGGACATCCATTGAGTTTCAACATGGAAAAGAGTACAGCTGACTGTGCCTGCCAAGCAGGGGGGGATCGACCCGGGGCTATGCGCCTCGTCTGGCACATGAGTAGTAAGTTGTAACTCAGCTCATCCGGACAACAAGCTGTAACAAGCCAACACCTTACGCGGGTCCAGTGAATAAGCATGAAGCCCAACGCACAGCCTAGGGGACGATCGTAAAGGTTTCATCAGCCACAACAAGAAGAGCGCCATGTGTGCCAAGTGATGAATAAGTCACTCGATGGAGTTTGTCTCCTGTGTCGTTCGCGCTTTGCATTTCTTGGCTTGATAGGCAGATGCGATGTCCTACAGGGTGAGTCCTGTATCACTCAATGCTGTGCGTCATGCCGAAGTAGCGAGGAAAGAGGGATGAAATAGATAAGTATTAACTACGTTACTTAGACCGCGGGCCTGCCACCAACCTGCGCAGGAATCCCAAACAGTGATACCAACCTTGCGGGTGTGACGTACTAATACATGGGGCGGCCAGAGCGGCGCGATGGGCACGTTGGCTGACTGGCAGGGGCATAGCGCGAGTGCCAGCTGGTATCCGTCTGTACTCCGTACCTGTACTCCGTAGTTACTCCATAGAGTCCATACAGGAGCTTGGGCTGGTGCAGCGATCCACAGGGGCCGGCATCAGTTGCAGTCCGACGTTGAACGGTTGTGTGCAAGGCCAGAATCCTGGCTGAAGGACGGGCGGCGAGCATGTCGAAAGGATATGTAGTTGAGGGTGGCCAATGGAAAAAGCCATGGCGGATGTGGTCAGGCATATTCGTACTGATGGAGTGGTTGCCGACGATTGAGAAGTTGCAAGTAGACTCCTGGGAAGCTCCTTATTGCTCCTGGGCTGCCCGCACTCTCCACTCGCCGGCCTCAACAGGCGTCAGGGGAGAGGTTTCGTGACCAGATATTGCATCGTCGGTCGGTGGCAACCCCTGTCTTGGAATAAGGCCGGCTTGTGGACGCAGGATGAGACACCAGTGACCACACAGAGCAGTGGAGGAGGCGGCGAGCCCCCTCTAACGGGTTTGCGGGCCAGCGACCATGGGCGTACCGTGTGGGACGGAGGCATGTGGTACAGGGTTTCTCTCTTTTTTTTTTTTTTCTGTGATACTTTTTTTGGCCGCGTGGCGCGCCAGTAGCAAACTGTCTAGGCTAGCCTGGTGTCTAGCCCCGACGATCGATTTTCTTTGCTGGGCCTGGCATTGTTGATGGAGTATAAACGCGGCTTGACCACGTCGGGGCACATAATCAGCATACCGCTGCGGCCCGGAGTATCACAAAGGGCGAATCAACTAGTACGGAGCGTCCGTAACCAGAAGAGGAGAAGTGCGATTTGGGGTAGTGTTGTGGCCGAGGTCGTTCGCTAATCTGATGATGCAAATACGGCACAGCGATTAGGAAGATGAACTCGTTATTAGCAGACACAATTGCCCGGCTGTACGGAGTCATTTGCGTGTGAACGCGAGTACGATGTGGTGGTGCACTTGATGGGTGACGGAGCATCTGCTGACGATCAAGGCGGGCGGACAAGAAAGGAAGAGATGCCGGTGGGCGAGAGAGGCAGAGGCAGATGTGGCCTCAGGCATAGATGGATGCATGGATGGTGTGAGTTTGGTTCCTGGGCTAGCGCCAGATCAAGACTAGCCTGACAAGCTCGGGGAATGGTGCCTGGCGCTAGTCCTTGTCAGGAGAGGGGGCTCGAGGGGCGTGCAAGCGTGTGGCTCAAAAACAGGGACCGACCGACGGGTTCCTAGCCAGGTCGTTTACAGTGCTGGCTGGCATGAAAATGGCTTGCTGGATAAAACCGGCGAGGATAAATATAAATTGACGAGTCGTGCAAATGTAGGGCAAAGTGATAATGCAGCTGCGCGTCTCCCCAATATTTGGCGATGCTCGGCATATTGGGCGTATGCATGGTCTGCTGCATTATTATACCTACAGGCAGTCGTTTCGAGGCTCAACCTCAGGTACCTATATTTGTGTCACCATTGGGGTCTGTGCTATGACTCTCGACGCTTGAGTCTTGAGCCTGGTCGACAACCGACCACCTGGACCCCCACGAAGCAAGGCATGGAGCGCGCCAAAGGACGAAAGCAGGTAGAGAGTTTCTTGGCCCAACAAGGCACAGGTGCTTGGTACGAGTTCGTCGGCGTTTGTGCTTGCTTTCCGAACTATTAGCCACGCAAATGGAGGTATGTACCAGGCAATGGAAAGGCGGCAGCCGCCTCGGGTGTGCTTGCGCCCACTGGCTGGTGCCCCGAAGCCCGCATCTGCAGGAGGCGGCTGCTTGGTACCAACCCACCATCCCCAAACAAATACCAGTAGACAACTGTTCCTACAGATCACCTCGTCGTGCCTAAACACGGCTTGCGTGACGAGTTGGAACCGGAACAAGACGAGGAAAAAAAAAAAGGAAAAAAGGAGCCAGTTGGCGGCGCTGTTGCACCGTGTTGGGACTGGTGTTGCCAAAATGCGCCAGGAAGCTTCCCCGAGAGCTGCGACTGGTTGGTGTGGCTTGCGAGTGGGTGTGTTGATGTGGGCTCTGGCTTGCCCCCGGTTCTTGCTCGCCGCCACACGCAGCTCTCGTCCAGGCACTTGTAACCGCCGCCAGCTCACAACTGCCCCCATTGCCCCAGGCCTCGAGCCAGTCAACTGCGGCGATGACACTGGTGAGGGGACAGCATCACCCACTTGTAGTGGTAAGCTTGCCTCACTGACTCCCTCGCCCACTCGCAGTCTCGCACAGCCAAGGCCGTCGTCGGCACTCCTTGTATGCGCCGACACACTTGACACTCGAGTTGGGCTAACTTGCCCCTCCCCCCTCACCATCAATGGCCCATCGCCAGGCACCAGGTACCGCCGCAGCATCCCGCCCGCTAGCTCCAGGCACACGCGCCAGTCATTGCAGTCCGCTGCTCGACCGAGAATACACTGCGCAGGAACCACCCGCCGCCGCCTGTGGTGCTGCAGCCTCGCTACAGGTACCGCGCACCTCGTACAGCAGCAGCAGGGCTCCCACCGCTCCCGCCGCACTGTACTCTGTACTGCCTCGACTTCTGCCGCACCGCTCGCTCACTCGCTCCCTTTTTCCCCCGGCTGCCCCCCATCCATCCCCGTTTTCTTCTTCTCGCCTCCCATCTTTCATCGCCAACTGGTTTTTTTTTGTTCTACACTCTTTCCCCCCGTCCTTTTCTATTTCTTTTATTCATTCCTTTGCTCCCAGTCGCTCTCTACATACTACTCTCTTTAAACATTCGCTAGTGATACCTCACTCCTTTCGGATTCACTATTACATTCTTTAGGCCTCGTCGTCGCCCATTTCCCTTCACACGACCCCCGACGCGCTCTACACATTCTCTACTACACCTGTTCGGTTTCGCTTACTATCCCCGATATCGACTCTCTTTCTTTTCACCGTTCGCATTACTCGCTATAATCAAGGTCCTCGTCTCCTGATTCGCCACACGCCTGTTGCCGCGACCCTCTCGACAATCTTCTAGATCGCGACGTCCCGGCACAGCCGTGTTTGTTATACACACTTGGTATCCCAGACACAATAAACCAGACTCGCAGTGCGCTCGTCTCTGACGAACGCCATAACATACTTAGCCATGGCCACGGAAGTCGAGATGCCCATGTCCATGTTGCCCATGCACCAGGCTCCCGAATCCTCAAGCCCCAACTCAACCACAGCTCCCGGTTCTGCCACCGCAACCTCGTCCAAGCGGACACCCTCCCCTACTGCTTCCACCACTGGTCATGCCTCAGGCGGCATTTCGAAGCGCCCGCCTCGCAAAAGCACCCTGACCCAGCAGCAAAAGAACCACAAGCGCCAGCGAGCCACCCAGGACCAGCTTTCCACACTCGAAGTCGAATTCAACAAGAACCCTACTCCTACTGCCAATGTCCGCGACCGTATTGCAGGGGAAATCAACATGACGGAGAGATCCGTCCAGATTTGGTTCCAAAACAGGTACGCTGCATCAATGCATTTTTTCTGTGTTTTATATCGTGGCCTTTGCCTCCCAAGCTTTCCTCTTCTCCGCTATCCATTCCAATGGTTGCACAATCGCTGATTTTTCACAGGCGCGCCAAGATTAAGCTGCTGGCTAAGAAGAGCCTCGAAACAGGCGAAGACATCGACTCCATTCCTGAATCTATGCGTAATTACCTCGCCATGCAGGCCATGGAGTCTGGCAAAAGCCTCGGCGGTAGCTACCTCGGCCGTACTGGTCTTATGCCCTTCGGCCACGGAAATATGATGCTCGGCGAACAGAGCGGCCCAGGCAAGGTTCTTATTCACCACCTTAGCTGTCGCTCTCTCAGCATCGGCAAGTGGACCAGAGTCGGCCAGAACACGATGGATCTCATCATTTTCTACTCCCCGGACAAGTGTACCATGACCTACTACATCAACAACGAACAAGCTGGCTACAAGATTGAGTACCCGTTTGCCTACATCAAGAGCATTTACTTGGAATATAGCGACGGTGACCCTTCCAAGCTCGGCGGTATTGTCATCGAGCTGAATCACATCCCCAACTTTTTCATGGACTCGCCCCCTTCCGCTGATATGGACTCGCCCCCTTCCGCTGTTGGCTTCAGGCAGGTTGGCGACTTCACAGAAGACTCTCAGGCCTCAAGCTGTATGGTTCATCATCTCGGCGGCAACCCGAAGATGCTCAGCACCCAGCTCGCCAAGCTCGTTTCTCTCGAGTCCTTCATGAACCGCCACAACGCAATGGCCTATGCCACTCCCAGCCCCAACGCCGCCATGGACGCTCACGCCATCGCTGTCTCCGCCCCCGTCTCGCCCATCCCTCGCCCCTCCTCGCAGCCAAATTTTGCTGCAAGCCATATCAACATGATGCCTGATCAGAACCAATGGGGCATCGGTCAGATGCACTCCGCCATGCGCCCGCCGCAGGGCCACAAGCGCCAGAGAAGTCGTTCGGTCCCCGGCCCCATTGACTTTGCCATGTTCCAGAGCCAGCCCATGCCCTCATTCTACATTTCGGCCCCTACCGACATGGGGCCGCCACACACGCCTGGCGTCTACGCCCCTATCCCCCAGCAACCGAACATGGTCAACAACCTGCGCATCGACACCCAGGCTGGTTTCGGACTCGATATGCGTCAGTATCCCATGTCGGCCACGACCGCCTCGCCGGCCGATTTCCCCCACAGCCCTAGTTTCTACTCGCAGGGTCACGATGGAACACCACTGGGCACGCCTGGCTACACGCCTGCCTACAGCAGCGCTTTCATGTCTCCCATGGTGGGCTCCGACGCCAATGGTCCACCCTCGGCTTCGTCTCTTGGCTTCGCTAGTAACGAGCCGGCCATTGTCGATCAATCACCACCCATGGGTATGATGGGCCGCCCTGGTTCCGCTGGCATGTACGGGGCGCATGACGGTTCCTGCGCTATTTCGGAGGATGGCACCACTCTCAACGACATGTATTCGAAGCACAACCTCAATCTCTCGCCAAACTTTGTGCATCAGCAACAATCAGAACTCGATATGGACCAGCTGGTTCATTTCGACACGGTGGATCCATCGAGCCTTTCGCCTCCCGAGGCCATGGTATCGGTACCGCAATAGGCTCTCGATGGCTTAACCTTTTCTTGTCGTCTCTGAGTTTGCATTGAGCGTTACTCTTCTGTGGCTGCTCTCGTTTGGCGTTGCTTGTTGGCTGTTTATCTAATACCATTTGTCCTTGTTGTTGTTGTTGTTTGTTCCTCGTCGCGCTATTTTCTATTTCGTTTCTTGCTTTTTTTTTGTTGGTTTTTGCGTTACACTCCTCCCTTCTGGCCGTGCCGGCCACTTGGCGGATTTTCTTTACCGGCGGTAATTTACACTACTTGTCCTCCGCTTGCTTCGCCGGGGCGGATCTATAACGAGTCTTGCATGAACGAAAATATTCTCTGCTTTCTTTGGAGGATTGGTCAACCAACCTGCAGCAAACGGTCGGAAAGGTCCGAAAGGACCCTTGGTTCATCTGTCGAGGTGTGCTTCACGGCGGTTTGGGCCCAGCTAGCCTTGATTGGGCGATGGCTGGGCGTTGCGGTTGTTGCTTATGGCGGTACGGGTCTCGCGACCTCTATTTGCTTGTATTTTGTCTGTACGCAGCTGCAGTTGGCCCGGGATGCATCTCGGGCTCGTTGAGGTGGCGGCCTGCACATAGGGCGGCTTTCTCTGTCCAATCTCTGCGCTTCTCTTTTTTTTTCGGCACGATTGTTGATATTGATTTTTATTTGGGATGCCCAGGAGGCTCTTGACTGCCAATAGTTCATTTCTGTATTCTTGTCTTGGCAGGCATGTATTGGAAGATAGATTCTGTATTTAGGGGTTTTGGGTAATGCAGGTAGCTGTGTTGGAACTATTCGGGGGTACGCGGAAAATTGAACTTCATCGCATGTACTCGTTTTGCATGGCCAGATACTCGCCAATTTAGTGACTGAGGACTTGACTTGTGAAGATGACAAGAGGCTTTTGAGGTGGCGTGGCGAGGCAGATTATACGTACGCTAATACCTAGGTACTAAGGTAATTAGTACCTTGGTAGTTACCTGGTACGTAGCGCCACTTGGTTGGTTACTGGCGGATGATTTTTCTCACCATCAATCAATCCCTGGGTCGACTCTGACTGAAGACACAGTCATCTCTAGTAAGCTTTGCTTAGTCCCCTGTTGCTTGGTAGTACGTTGTCCTACGTACAAACTAGTCGTCTCGTATTCCAAGTCAAAGTTTGGATGGTGAAGAGTTGATACTAACAAAGGGGCGGGTGGCACGGGGCCGCCGGCCGTAACTAGGCCTAAAAACTGGGCACTGAAGCGAGGCTGTGCTTGCCTGGAGTTTGCCGGTTTGCCTTGGGTGTGGTGTGCATGTGCTGCTGAAGGGCGCTATTATTGGAGACTTCCGCGCTGGTTGCCCGCCAAGCTTTCTCGAGTCCCGACGGACAAGGCCAAGCTTCAAGCCTCGCGTGCGACGCTAACTAAATGCTAAAACGGTACGGCGTTTTATTAAACCGTCAACCGTCAAACCCGTCAAACCACTCCCCTCCACCTTGAGTCTGGCGACAGTTCTTCTCGCCAGTCGCCCAATATCGAGGGTTGCGACACTCTCTTACCTCTAGGTACACAATACACACAAGCTCAACACACCCGCCACGACGCTTCCACTTGTCACAACTCCAAATGGTGAAACACAGCCTGTGGCATGGTTCCCAATCGCAATGACGCGGCGGTGCGCCCAGCCCACGATGTCCATACTAACGTCACGGCCAATACGCAGCGCAATCGCTCGCCTCCCGCGCCGCGCATGGCGGCTACTCCCCGCGCCAACACAGATCCGGCCATATCGTTCGGCTCAAACACCGCAACAGAACCTCCTGCGCCGATTATCGAGCGACACGAACTTGAAACGATACACTCCAAGTCGCCCCTCGCTGGCGTGAACAAGATCGATAGCGTTGACAATGTCGCCGCAAGCGCTGGTGCGTCGGCCGCTGCTAGCAACTCCAGCCGGGACGCCAAACCCTCGTTTCGCGACCGACTGGGCCATCTAAGACCCGACCGACTTGCGACGAACAAGCGGCGTCGCCAGATGCACGGTATGCTATGCAAGGAAAAGGCCAGAGACCGCGTCGCCGCTATATACCAGACCATTATCATCGAAGGCCTCCTGCGCCGGAAACCGCTGCCGCCATCCCGCGATGGTCGGCATATTCCTATGAATCACCCCAACGACCTAGTCGACGAGCGCAGTGGTGGGCACTACTGCAGCAACTTTATCCGCTCCTCGCGCTACACTGTCTACGACTTTGTTCCGAAGCAGCTGATATTTCAGTTTAGCAAGCTAGGCAACTTTTACTTTCTCGTCATGGGCATCTTGCAGACCATTCCAGGACTGAGCACTGTCGGACGGTGGACGACGATCGGACCGCTACTTGCTTTTGTAGCATTTAGCATGGCCAAAGAGGGACTCGATGACTACCGCAGATATGGACTTGATAAGTCGGAGAATCGAAGCAGTGCGCTGGTGCTGTCGCGCAAGGACGGCCGAAAACGAAACCTGGCACATATGCAGCGGATCAAGCTGCGCAACGATAAAGACAATGTGACCGTCGAAGAGATAGCGCTAGGCGGCCTTGAACAGACTCGCTTCAGCTCCGACTGGGTTGAGCTTGACTGGCAGCAAGTCCGCGTCGGTGACGTCGTCCGCCTGCACCGTGACCAAAACGTGCCTGCGGACATGGTGCTGCTGCACGCCACAGGCCCCAACAACGTTGCCTACATTGAGACCATGGCGTTGGATGGCGAGACCAATCTCAAAGCGAAACAGGCATCCCCACCACTTGCCACTCGTTGCGAAACAATGGACGGCCTGCGCAAGACCCAGGCAGTCGTTGTGTCGGAGGATCCCAACATTGATCTCTACAGCTACGACGGCAGAGTCATGGTTGATGGGGAGGCGTTGCCTTTGACTCTCAACAATGTCGTCTACCGTGGGTCGACTCTACGCAACACGACTGCGGCTATTGGTCTCGTTGTCAACTCGGGCGAAGAATGCAAGATCCGCATGAACGCCCACAAAAACGTGCGCACAAAGAAGCCGGCCATGCAGTCCGCCATCAACATGATGATTCTCTTTCAAATTTTCATCGTCGTCATGCTTGCCATTGGCTTCACCATCGGCTATTACCTCTGGGAAGGAGATGTCGAGGACAAGTCTTTTTACCTCTACCAAAACGGCAGTTATGATGCCTCTGTACCCTTTCGAGAGATTTTCTTTGGTTTCCTCATCATGTTCAACACTCTCATCCCGCTCTCGCTATACATCAGTCTGGAAATTGTGAAGCTGGGCCAGCTGCTGCTGTTGCATGACGCTGACATGTACGACCCTGTCTCGGATACTCCCATGGTGGCTAATACCACGACGATTCTGGAAAACTTGGGCCAAATCAGCTACGTTTTCTCCGACAAGACAGGCACGTTGACGGAAAATTTAATGCGATTTCGCAAACTTTCTGTCGCTGGGGTTTCTGTCTTGCACGACATGGATGTCTTACGGGATGAGAAACTCAAGAAGGGCAAGCTGGCCTCATACAAGGACTCAAATAAGCGTGGGAATCACCACACAAATACCACAGCGTCAGCAGAGCCAGTTGGGCGCACATCCATGGGGTCTTACACCCACTGGAAGTCATCCGTCCGACCCAACGACGAGCCAGACATGAAAACAGAAGAGTTGCTCGAGTATATCCGCTCCAAACCAAACACCACCTTTTCTCGCAAGGCCAAGCTCTTTCTTCTGTGTATTGCCCTTTGCCACACTTGCTTACCCGAACACAAAGAAGACGGTTCCATTGAATTCCAGGCCGCATCTCCCGACGAGCTTGCGCTTGTCGAAGCTGCACAGGATCTGGGCTATATGCTTGTTGATCGCCCCGCTCAGAGCATCAAGCTGCAGACGATTGACGCAGAAGGACACCAGGTGGTTGAATCTTACCAGATATTGGACGTGATTGAATTCACCAGCCAGCGAAAACGCATGTCTATTATCCTTCGCATGCCCGATAATACCATTTGCGTGATTTGCAAAGGTGCCGACAATATCATTACTTCGCGGCTAAAGCTTAGCCACCTCGCCGAGGAGAAGGCCCGTCACATCGGTCACAGAGCCAGCATGCGAAAGACGTTTGAGAAGAACAAGGCGTTGCAAAGAATGAGCATGCAGATGAGTGCTCGCTCCACGCCCAGAAATAGTCTCACCATGAAGAATCGCGACTCGACAGATATTCGCGACGGTGTGCGGCGAAGCATTGGTCGCTACTCTGTGGATGGTACTCGGCTGGGAGAAGGCCCTCCCTCATGGCTGCAAAGACGTCGTACCGAGGACTATGGAACTCCCCGCCACTCGGCTGACTTGCTCAATACTAACCGCCTCAGCCTCAACCGTGTCGTCTCGTTTGATGCCATTGACCGCCGTGTTGACGAGAGCGTAGCTGCGAGCGATGCTGCAATCTTTGAAAGATGCTTCCAGCATATCGATGATTTTGCCACCGAGGGCCTGCGTACGCTGCTTTACGGCTACCGCTACATTGACGAAGATACCTACACAAAATGGAAGGCAATGTATCGCGAAGCGGAGACCAGCCTCGTCGACCGTCAACAGCGTGTTGAAGCGGCCGGTGACGTGATTGAGCACAAGTTTGATTTGGCTGGTGCGACAGCTATCGAAGACAAATTGCAGGATGGCGTGCCGGAAACCATCGATAAGCTGAGCCGCGCCAACATCAAAGTCTGGATGCTCACCGGTGACAAGCGTGAGACGGCAATTAATATTGCGCATTCTGCGCATGTCTGCAAGCCTTACTCTGAACTGTATATATTAGACGCAAACGCGGCTGGAACGTTGACGGATCAACTGACCATGACACTTACCGACGTCAGTCGCGGCATGGCGCCCCATACTGTCTTGGTTGTGGATGGCCAGACCCTCACCAAAATTGACACTGACAGCGATCTCTCCATTCTCTTCTACGACCTGGTTATTCGCGTCGACTCTACCATCTGCTGCCGCGCGTCTCCCTCGCAGAAGGCCGAACTGGTCAAGGCCATCCGACGCTATGTCCCCAGCAGTATGACCCTCGCCATCGGTGACGGCGCCAACGACATTGGCATGATCCAAGCTTCGCATGTCGGTATTGGCATTTCCGGTCGCGAGGGCCTGCAAGCGGCTCGAATTGCCGACTATTCCATTGCGCAGTTTCGCTTCCTAGAGAAGCTCCTATTTGTCCACGGTCGCTGGAACTATCTACGCACTGGAAAGTATGTGCTGGCCACCTTTTGGAAAGAAATCTTCTTCTACCTCCTCCAGGCGCACTTTCAGCGCTTTACAGGCTATACAGGCACTTCACTGTTCCAGTCGACTAGTCTCACGCTGTTCAACACGCTGTTCTCGTCGCTCGCTGTCATCCTACCCGGTATTTTTGAGAGGGACCTGCGCGCCGAGACACTCTTGGCTGTGCCGGAGTTGTATACTTTTGGCCAGCGGAACAAGGCGTTCAACTACCGGCTGTACATTGGATGGATGCTGATGGGAATTGCCAGCAGCTTCATCGTCTATTACATTACCTGGGCCGTGTACAATTCATCCCTCTTCACGGAAGACACTTCCCTATATGCCATGGGCACCATTTGCTTCACCGTCGGCGTCGTCTTCATCAACACCAAGCTTTTCATCATAGAACTGCATAGCAAAACTGTCATTACGTTTACCGGCTATGTTATTACGACTGGCGGCTGGTTCGTCTGGCTGTTGATTCTCAACAAGCTCATTTCCCCGGCGATGAATGTCTACCTCGTTCATAATACATTCACCCGCAACTTTGGCGCGCATCTTCAGTGGTGGACAGCCCTGCTCCTCGCTCTGACGGGGCCCATCATGCTGGAGCTCGTCGCTCAGAGCGTCCGCAGGGTATATTGGCCGACAGATACAGATCTTATGCAGCGCCTGGAAAAGGAAATCGATGTACAGAAGATGAGGGCCCTCTTTGACCCAGAACCGGAGACCTATTATCCCCACGACGACGACGAACAAGCTACTGCTAGTAACTTGCGCGACCGTAGGGCCGACGTTGCTTCGACAGGAATCAGCCATACTCTCGACAATAGCCCTACCACCGCCAGTCGATTCTCACAGTCGGATACGCCGCGAAGGGCGCCGGCTACCAGGGCCAGTCTTGATGAGTACAGACCAGCGCAGTCTACGCAGCTGGCGGAGGAACTGGACAATCCGCCTATCAGACCCCGTGCCAAACTGGAGCAAATACAAGGCGACTAGGAGAAGAAGAGGCCGTGGACATTGTTAAATATTGTTGTTAAATGTTTTATATGCTGGATGCTTGGTGCGCTGCACTTCGTTCTGTCTTTTTGTTGTGAGCAACGTCAAAGCGTTATATTTTTACTTATAGAGAAGGGGGGAAGAGTTGGATATACCATGGTTGCTTTTCTACGATAGACAAACGCGAAATGAACTTTATTTTAGTACCTGGCACACGGCAGCTTTTGCCAAATAACCGCCACCAGCCACGCGTGCCAAGGAGTTGTCGTGGTTGGCTTGTTAAATCGCGGGCGCTGAGTGAACGCCCGCTACAAGAAGTGACAGCTAAAACACTGACCATTAACCGAGACAAGAAACAAATGACACTACGACCAATATACCTACTAATAAACTAGTTATGTAACTCCTCAATCAAGGGACCAGTAGTTATCAGCTCCCGTTCTCTTGTTGCTATGCTTATGATGCGATTCTCCTATACTATTCTTCTGCGGTCTTCTACGTTCTCTGCCCTCGTCCCTCCCTTAATAAACTCACTCATCTTGCCTATAGTATTTTTAGTAATTCTCAGAGTTTTGCATTGTCTCTATCCGGCACCCTGTTAGTATAAAGGGATGAAGTCTGTCCCTAGCACATGATGTGCCCCGGACGTGACAAAGACTCCTCTGCCTTTAATAGGCAAACAGCCACAGAAGCTTATCAGCCCTTTTTTTAGTTGGGTGATCTCAGCGGTTTACTCTTCGATCCGATAGAAATGGAATTTCGTGTCTAGATCAGCCACAACTGCTGGTCAGCGCAAACCGGCGCCAACAGTAGGATTCGTTTCCGGGCCGCTGCTATGAGCAGGTATTTATAGCGGAAAGACTAGGGATACTAATATAATGAGCATGGATATAGAGACGGATAACCTTGCAATGTAATTCTGCTCTCTCTTGGCACGGTGGCGGACGTCTCGTATTTTTGTTGAGGGAGATCGAATGGCGCAACTTGCTAGCCGGACCGAGTACCGAGTGCCGAGACTGCAAACAAAACCCACCAAGTAAGTGAAAAAGAAACTCGCAGGGGATGCGGCAATCAGTGGATGGGATCTCCGTTCAAGGCGGGCGCTGTTGGTGGCGCCGGGTCAGGCCCAGAACACAATGGTGTTGGCTGGTCAAAGCATCACCCCATTGGCACACGGTTCTGTCAGTCTTCTTGGATGTCTTATTGGCGTATGGCATTACAGAGTAGAAGTTACTGCTATGCCGTGTTATTCAGGTGCCTAGCTCACAAGGCCAGAGGTCGGTTGTGAACCGACCGGATGAAGTTACGAGAGTCGCCGATGGCTGATCTAGGTGGCGCAAATTAGGCAGGGATACTACTCCTTTGTTACAATCAGGTGCGTCTGTCTCTAAAAGCCCCTTATAGAATGAGTTTCCTTCAGGCGCGCCGTGGCGTATGAGTACAAAAAAGGGCAACGTCCCAGTCATGCAACCTCATTGACCCTCGAGACTCAAAGAATAACGGATTACGGATTATTAAAAGAGACTTCCCATCGTCCGGGAGGGAATCGACCGCAACCATGACTGTCATGCTGAAACACTTCACCGTTGAGCAGAAGCAGGCCTACGTCTTGGTCGCCACCACGACTGGCCTCGTGCTCGCCTACACGACCTACCTCGCCCGCCTCTACGCTCGCTTCACCTTCAACAAGAAATTATACCGCGAGGACTGGTGGATGGGTGCTGGGATTTGCGTGACATCGGGCTTGGCGTCTTGCCTTTTCTATCGCATGTTGATTCGCGACACAAGCCAACAACAGGCCCCTAGCTAACCCGTCTCTAGAACTCTCCGTCGGGTTGGGGCATAATATCAAGGATGTCTCAAAACCAGACTTGGAGCAATTTATGCTTGTGAGTTTTTATCCAAATGTCATCAAGATGTTTGCACAAGGGCTGATGCAGCGCAGGCGCTCTGGTGTATGCAGAGGATGCAGCAGCCGACTCTGTTCTGCATCAAGACTTCCATCATCCTATTCTACATTCGCATATTCGACACGCCACGATTCAAACTTGCCGCATTGATCTTATGGATCTACACGCTTCTATGGGCCATCGGAGTTTGGTTCGCCACGCTTTTCGAGTGCCGTCCCATTTCCTTCTTCTGGAACAAGAACCAGGCCGGGGGGTCGTGCATCAAGGATCCCCTCATCACGATTGGCCTCCCCAGCGGCGTCAGCTCTTGCATCGGCGACCTCGTCATACTTGCCCTGCCCATTCCCATGTTGCGAAAGCTGCAACTGAACCCCAAGAAAAAGGCCGGTTTGATGGGCATTTTCCTCGTCGGGCTAGTTGTCGTCTGCATCAGCTTCATCCGATGGGTCGCCCTTTTGGGAACTCATGAGAACATAACCTGTAAGTCATCGTGGCCACGCACATAATTTGTTCAAGATTCCTCTCTGATAACCAGCAGCGAGCCAAGTCGAGGCTGGTGTCTGGACATCCTTGGAGGGGTCCATTGGCATTATGTGCGCCAACCTTCCTGCCCTAGCACAGCTATGCAGACGGTGGCTGAGCGCGAGCCGCAGCGTGCAAGGCAACGAGGCCCAGGGATGGAGCGAGACATTGACGATAGGAAGCGCGCAAAAGCGACGGAAACCTGGCCAGAGCCGTAGATTTTCTATGATCGATAGCCAGGATGGAAGTCAAATAGAGCTGGCCAATCGAGTGCAGATAGCGCACGGCGCGGCAGAAGCACGAGCTCAGTCGGGATCGAGTGATAGGATACATGTCCAGACGGATTTGGCTGTCGAATATTGCCAAGTGCCAAGGCAACGGGCTTTATCTTAAATGACAAGCAGCGAGGTATGAGAAATGACCATTACACATGCGTTCTCGGCTGCCGTTCAAGAACCCTTTTATATGGTCATGAAGAATGTAAACTACGTCAAAAAACAGTCATAAATTGATAAACCAGGTACTGTACATATTCATCTATAGCTTTTCGTAACGCCAAAATGTTAATGGGAACCAGAAAGCCACTGCGCCAGTGTCAGCTGGTTCCAGAACGTCCGCGTATGCGCCCCGTACCCAAAATGAAGGAAAATAACAAGGCAAGTCAAGCCAAAACCCAATGCAGTAGAACAAATGATGATACAACCAGCAAAGCATCCTCACGCCTCTACACTCACAAGGCAGTCCTCGTCCCACTTCTTCTTAGCCGCCTTTTTTAGGATCTCTAAGTCGCCACTCGACTCGCACATACTATAGAATTGTGTTTCTTCGTCGCTTATCAGCTTCCACGGATGCGCATACTCGACCATCTCCCCCTTATCCAAGACCAGCACCTTGTCATAGTCGACAATCGTCTGCAGACGGTGCGCAATCGTGATGACAGTGCCGCGCATCTCGCGTATTGTGTCCTGGATCTTGGAGTCGGTGTTGTAGTCGATGGACGCCGTAGCCTCGTCCATGACGAGCACTTTTGGCTTCTTGAGCATCGCGCGGGCCAGGCACAGAAGCTGGCGCTGGCCCTGGGACAGGTTGGATCCGGACTCTGCGACGGGCGAGGCAAGATCTTGAAATATGTTCTTGTTGCTGGCAAGGGCGGATACCGGTGTTGCCGGCGTGCTGGCATCCTCTTCGCCAATCAGGTGCACGCGGCGCAGAGCCTCGAATACTTGCTCGTCGGTGTACTGGTCAAAAGGGTCGAGGTTGGACCGCAGCGTCCCGGTAAAGAGGGTTGGGTCTTGAGGCACAATGGTAATCTTCTCGCGCAGATCGCGGAGACCGATGGCGCCAATGTTGACTCCGTCGACGAGGATCTCGCCCTTGTCTGCCTCGAGGGCACGGAACAAGGCCAGTGTGAGGGAGCTCTTGCCTGCACCGGTGCGGCCGACAATGCCCACCTTTTCTTTGGCGTTGATTTTGACGGAAATGCTGCGCAGGACAGGCTCTAAGTCGGCTCTGTAACGTGTGCTGTAGTTGACAAACTCGACACTTCCTTTCTCCGGCCACGACTCAGCGGGGCGGTTATCCTCCACAACGGCGTCCGCCTCCTGCTCAACATCAAGGTATTCCTTAATTCGCTCCATCGAGTTCATATTTTGTTCGTTTGTGCCATACTGTCGAACCAACCACAAGACATTATCGGTAAAGCTCATGGCATAGCTGAGTGAGATACCCGCCGCACCGGCGTCAATCTTGCCGATGCTGAGAATGATGAAAACACCGGCAAAGAAGGAGACACTGTTGCCGATGAAGTCCGCACGAAAGGCCAGCCATCTGTTAAGGGCCCAAAGATAGATGAAGGGGCGATTCGACGTGTTGACCTTGTCTAGGTTTTCGAGGATGAAGCGGCGCTCAACACCATAGGCACGAATGGTCGTCATGCCACTAAGCGTCTCGCCGAACTGCTGGAAGAGGGGACTGCGCTGCACAGATTCGAGGCGCTTCAGGTCGCGAGACGCGCGGAGGTAAAGGACGGAGACACCATAGAAGAGAATTCCGATGAAGACGGCAGCAATCAAGAAGGCAGGCGTGATGACGGCAATAAGTATGACCGTCACGATCAGAGACAGGGCGCAGGCGAGCACGCCAATCGCAGTGGGAGCGATGTCCTGGTCAACAGCTTCTAGATCCTTGCTGAACCGGTTAATAATCTGACCAAGAGGGGTGACGTCAAAAAACTTGAAACGCGCTCTCATAACAGAGTTGAGCAGAGCAGCGTGTAGACGACGAGATGCAGTCAGGGAACCAAAGAAGATCCAAATGTCGCGGACAAAGGCGGTAAAAGCACCAAGAGCACCGATAAAGGCAAGGCCAAAAACATAGTAGACGGCGTCCACGTCATATGCAGGCTTAGCGGTACCCATTGGCAACTGGCTGGTGAGCGTGTAGGCGCCGGCGTAGGCAGGCGACTGGTTGACCTGTATGCTGCCCAATTTCGCGATTGTGGCCCACGCAGCTTTGGGGTGAAACTGGCTGTTGTACGTGGCGCTAGCCGGGCTGAATGCGACGCCACGAACGTCTTTTTCAACATACTGGTTAGCCCAGGCCCGGACCCAGACATTGGTGGCAACGGGCGCTAGCTGCTGCAGCTGGAAGACGATGAGGGCAATAATCCAGAACCAATAGGAGCCCATGGAAAAGAGATACATCTTCACCACGGGCCACTTGATAGCACCCGTTGCCTTTCCTTCATCCATGGGATCTACTTGAGGGGCCACCTTCTTCTTAGTCTTGGGCTTGTACAGCCCATCGGGTGAGCCACCTACGACGGTGGTGTCGCCAATGCTTGAGGCGCGAGAGGGCGCTCGGGACGGCAGGGCAGAACCGGGGCGGGACTTTTGCAGGTCCTCGCCTAGCTCGCCAGCGGCAATCAGGTCGGCAGATGCGCCTTGGGCTTTGACGCGGCCGTTTTCAAGAACGACGATAAAGTCAGACAGGGGAGCGCAGAGCTGAACGTTATGGGTGATGAGGATGCAAGTTCGATTCTCCATGAGCAGGCCTTTGATACAGTGGTGGAAAATCCAGTGAGCTGTATGGGAGTCGACGGCGGAAAGACAATCATCCATGAGAATGTGAGCAGAGTCAGAATAGACCGCACGGGCGAGGGATATGCGCTGTTTTTGACCACCAGAGAGTGTAATGCCTTTTTCACCTACGAGGGTCTCGTCGCCATGGTCAAGAATATCGAGGTCGCGTTCAAGGGCGCAGGCAGCAATGACATCGTTGTATCGCTTCTCGTTGTAAGGGGTGCCAAAAAGAATATTGGTCTTAATGCTACCGTTCAGAAGCCAAGAAGTCTGGGCAACATAGGCAATGGTGTCGGCGAGGCCAGTTTCGGGGTCGGGTCTAACGTCGTCGCGATTGCGACCGCCGGGGCAAAACACCTTGCCAGAATATAGCGACATCTCGCCAAGAAGACCCATCAAAAGGGAGGTCTTGCCAGAGCCAGTCGGGCCGGCAATGATATTGAGCTTGCCGATGGGGAAGTCAATGTTGAGATCCCACAGGCGGAAAGCGCCAGGGCCATCCTCCATGTTGCCATCTTTACTGCTCCAGGAGAGAGTTGTGTTGCGGAAGCCAATGCGTTTGACACCGTCTTCGTCGGTGTTGTCGGCACCGAGCTGTTCGTACTTTTCAGTCTCACCCTCTTGCAAGAATTCCTCCACACGCTCAACCGAGACTTTGGCTTCTTGTACGTGGGCAAGCATATCACCTAGCATGTCTAGTGGAATACGCAGAAGCATAAAAAGCGAGATGGCTGTGAAGGCGATGGAGGGATAGAGCGGTTTCTTTTCAACGAGCGTGAAGACGACAAAGGAGAAGAATGTGATGAGAACCGGAACCGAGTTCCAGATAGCGACAGCTACAGACCAGAGGACGTAGCGAGAACGCATGGCCTTGAGTTCGTTCTCGCGCTTCTCATCGATGATGACGCCAAAGCGCTTCTCCCAAGCAAAGTACTTGATGATGCGAATGTTTTGTAGAACTTCGTTGGTGATGTTGATTCGTTTGTCAGTAGCAGCCATGATATTTTTGGAGGTGACGCTGAAGCCATTGGCGAGGAGATAATTGACAGGCACAAGAAAAATCATGACGACAATGCCGGGGATGGCGCTGAGACCCATAACCTGCCAGAGTAGGAACACGGATACGGCGAGCTGAACGGGTGCTGCACCGACGAGGAAGTGCAGGTAGGCAGTGGTTTCTGAAATCTTGTAGCTATCGACAGACATGAGGTTAATGATGGTACCCAAGTTTGCTTGGTCGTCGGCGGTGGCGGCGATCTTGTCTTGGGGGTTGGAATCGACCTTCTTCTTGCCCTTGAATCCTAACACGCGCTTGATGGTCGAAAGGGCACCCTTGTTGGCGGGTTCAGTTTCTTGCTGGGAGACGCCCAGCGTCTTGTCCGGACCGGCAGCGGCCTTGCGGCGGAGGGCCTTGGCATACACATCGCCAATGATGATGGCGCGCATTCGAATGCAGATCTTGCGCCCTGTCCAGAGACTGATATTGTCGCTGATGGAGCGGATGGTGTCGAGGACGGGAAGGAGAATAACAAAGAGCCAAATGACGTTGCGCGGGGCGGCATCGGGATCCTCGACGTATTCAAGAATGTTCTTGAGCAACATGGTGGGCGCAAAAGTAAAGACACCGGCAAGGGCGGCGAGCAGGCACTGGCCGATGAGAGGCCCCTGGAAGTACTTGAGTAGATGTACGACTAGAGACCCGGTTTGCTTGAAAGAGCGGTAGCTGGCAATGACATTGGCAGCCTTGTCCTTGGGCAAGAGGTTCCAGACGGTATCCATTTCGAGAGGAGTCTTCCAGCCGGCCCAGACGATGTCGTCGACCCACGAAAAGGTGACAATGGAGAAGAGACTGGCGAGGGGCTCACGGGAAGGTTCCAAACCATTTTCCCACTCCATCAGTACAGTTTTGTTGCCCTTGCGTGTGGTAATGGTCATTCCCCACAGAACCGTAATTGCAGCAAACTCGGCAATGGCAATGGCCTCGGCTAGTTGTGAGCTCGGCTTGATGAGGGCAGAGCGGACAATGACAAGAGAGCAGGTCCATGTGATGCCGTAGATGGTGGCTGTGTGGTTCCAGAGGTGAGGGACTCTCCATTTCGAGGCTCCGAGGAACAGGCGGAGAGATACGAGGGCGAGCGTGTAGAGCCATACGACCAAGCTCACGGCGGCGGCGAGGCGGGCGCGGCGGCCGTAAGAACCGGTGCCGGTGGCGAGGGCGAGGATATTGACAACGACGACGGCGACAATGGCGAGGATTTCGACTAGGTTGGCTAGCAGTTGGCCGTGCGGCTGGTCGGCGTGGACAACGGAGCCGCGCGAAATGGTCTTGGACAGGCGACCGCCATGGATCTCGACATCTCGTTCGGACCCGGAGTCAGGGTCGGGCGGTAGAGCGGTGTGGTCAGTGACATGGTCAGCATCGTCAATGGCATCGTAGCCCTGCGTTCGACGGTTCTCAAGAATTCGAGCGACGTTGAAAATGATGACGCGCGAAGCAGATAGGGTAACCAAGAGGAGAGGAATTATGACTCGGAGGTAGCTGAGGTACAAGTTAGCGGAGGCTGTGAATAGGTGCCGAGCGGCGTCTGCCGGTAGTATTGGGCCGTCGAGATGGGGTACGTAGCACAAACCCACAGGGGCTCGAGTGAGAGAGGCAAAGGGTATATCTCTAGAGAAAGGGGTCGGAGAAGCCACGTACTCGACTTGAAAACAAAGACTAAAGTCGTCTACCCGCCATATCGGCCAGGAGCACTGGGCGAAGCCGGCCATGGCTGTGGCAATTTCGTAACTCTCGAGATGCGATGTGCCACACCGAGCAAGGCGGGGGGGGGGGGGTCTTGCAGCGGCGCTGGGCAGTCGAGAAACGGCGTGCTCGGAGTGGGGAGATTCGATGCGTGTCGATTGTGAGTTAGTCGTCAATGTCGTGGGATTGTGCAGAGGATAAAGGAAAGGTGTTCGGCACTGCTCAACTAAAAACCGACGTAGAGTTGGGCAAGTTGATAGTTATTGTGCCGCCGGAATGCACGTTTGTTTTTTTTCTGACAATAAATTGCGGCGCCCCCAGCCGTAGGTCGAGTGGGTACAGTGGGTTGGTGGAGGCTTTACAGTACCTACATGTACCTGTACCTGGCCTTTAAGTAGGTCTCTAATAAGGTACAACAAACCAACACGGTCATATCTGATGGTATTTCAATCGGTTGTGCTTCTTCACCTAAATGAATATAAGTTGAGCATTTGCAGACGACCTTGAAATCGTTCATGCATATATCAGGGTGCGCTTGGTGGACAGAAATGCTACGCCGAGCTCGGCCGGCGGTGACATGCGGGCTTAGGTACAGGTAGTTAGCTGGAATGTGCAAAACGATGTACCGATGAATCAGTGACAGTTAGACTCTGAGCTACGTAGTTAGGTACATTAGGCATGGGTACGCTGTCCGGACTTGCCAGCCAAAGAGTCATGTGTTCCTGGGTCGTGATTCACATCCTCTGTTCTTAATAAGTGACATGGCGTCATTTGTTGGGCTGGTCTCTTCTATTTCTCCCTGAATCCTGAGCGATTACCATTTTTCCTGCACCGACACCCATCGAAGGATCTGCATGCACGCAATCTCGACTCGTGGACACGGTCGTGGATATTGTCCGCTGCAATATAACCAGTTTATTATTATAGGTTGCCAGGGGGGCAAAATACAATATTCAATATTCACTCGTCACAGACGAACATGAAAACAAGACCGAAGTCCTCCGAGATGTCTTTCACTGAGAGATTAGTTCGCCATATCTAAGCATTGTTAGTTCTATGTTACACATTCGCTGCGCATCACGAGAAATATATTGTCTTTCCAAATTTTGGCCAGACGATCAATAATACTGGCCGCTCGATAGTAGTCCGCCGATGGCGCGCCGCGGCTGGCCGAGGCACAAGATGGTACGAGGAACCCACGCTAATTACTGTAAAATAACGGCCGTGTCTATGCTTGCCGAAGCAGGGTTGTGTGACTTGGACCTAGAAAAATTCGAATACGGCAAAAATGCACTGGTATTCAGTTAAGGTATGAGATAGTCTGAGCGCTAATAGTTGTCCTCCCTAGGTAGTAAGTACCTAGGTAGTTAATGTGGAAGAGTATCGCGTCGCTTATCCGATTTCAATGGTCGCTCTGAAATGATGTGTGCTCCGTAGCGCGTTATTGTAGAGCTCTAGTTACCTGGGCGGGGTTACCTTGATTGATTCACGCGGAATCCACTTGACGCTCGGGTTACCAAGCCTATATAGTTAGAAATCTTCTCCGCAGAAGCACCGCTCTAAAAATTCATCGTTATTAATCATTTCTCATCAATCTTTGTTCATCGGCTTCTTCTGCAGCCGCAAGCCCGGGAGCTGATTGACTTACCAACATCGTAAAATGGCTCTCCCCCTCCGCCTTACCAACATGAATCCCCACGCCCGGAAACAACTTCGCCCACCCCCCAGGCGTGAAATCCGTGCGATCCTCTAGCAAGAAATCCAAGTCTGCCGGATCACCAGCCTGCTTCTCAAACTGCGCACCCTGAAACGAGCCTTTTGTCGCCCATATGAGATGCACATTCCTTGGCGTCGACGTTAACGATGATGAGGATGAGCTAAACGGAAACGGGACAGGGTCATATTTGTTCAACACAAGGTTCACACCCTTGAAATGCGGAAACAACCAGCTCGGTCGGGCAGACTCCTCGCCAAAAAATCCATGAGCTTGGCAAGAGTCAAAGAACCGCTGCGGGAGGATCCCAAGCCTCCCGGGCACAGGTGCATCGAGGAGAAATAGGTTAGCGACTTGCTCGCCCGCTTCACACAAGAGCTGCGAGGCACGGAACGCGAGTGTCCCACCCGCGGACCATCCAGCGAAGGAATAAGGACCCTGGAGCTGGCGACGGCGGATCTCAGCAATGTAGCTCTGCACAAGGTCGTCGAAGGCAACGGTGCCCATGGTGTCGCCGCTTTTAAGGAAGGGCGAGTTGAGGCCGTAGACGACGAGATCGGCGCTGATCCGGGGGAGCTGCGTGTAGGACGTTGCGGAGCCACTACCGTCAGGGAAGAAGAAGAGCACCTTTCTGTGCGCGACCCGAGGGTTGTTTTGGAGAACAACCGATGTGGTAGCCGGCACGGGGTTATTCACTAGCTCACTGTCCGGGCAAGCAGATTCGACATCTGTGCCCGGCTGGCGGCCGAGATCAGAGTTGCAAGATGATGGGACGGTGTCTGGCGTGCTGCTTCCGATCGTGGAGCAGGACTGGCCTTCAACCAGAACGCGGAGCTGCCCGATGGTTTGCATGGTGAGCAGGGCAGAATCTGGGCCGAGATCCATGTCAAGCTCATCCCGTAGACGGCTGGAAATGATGAGAGCTAGCAAGGAATCGATACCGGCGCCTGCGAAATCGGCGGTGTCTGTTAGCTCTGAGATGGCGACGCCGGTCTCTTCGGCTATGATCTTGAGGACCTCTTCCAAGGTATCTGGCTGTGACAGAAGAGGCTGACGCGCGAGCTGTAGAGTTGAACTTGATGGAAGCAAGGTATTAAAGCTTTGTGTAGACCTGGTCTGTATAGCGTGTTGTGGTAGAACGGGCACGATTTCTACCGGCGCTGCCGACAGTCCTGGCGCTGGTGTCGACACCACAGGGGTTGGCGCAGCTTCTTCATAGACAGAACTCAAACCACAGCGTTCTGCAACATAACGTTTTATCCGAGACACGGTATTACACTCCAAGGCAAGCTGGTCAGGCTGGACATACAGTCCCAGCTCCTCACAGAACCGCGAAGAGATGATGAGCAACAGCAGCGAGTCAACTCCAACCTCGGCCAGCTCTAGCTGGTCAGTCAGGCTGGCAAGCTCTACTCCTGTTTCCTCAGAAAGTATAGAAAGAGCCTTGGTTACTGCGCCAGCTGATGTCGCAGGCCCATGTTTCACCGGCGTGAGAGCCTTGGGCGTGGTAGTGGCCCTTTGCTGGGCAAATTGGTCAACCGGTGCCAGCACCGGGGCGAGAGGTGAAGGCTCTGGAGCCAAAGTAATTGGCCGAGGTGTAGGTACGACGTCGCACGTTGATTGGGAACTGTTTCCAAAGTGTGTCCTGACACTGCCGACTGTCGGGTTGTCGACAAAAAAGGTCGGCTGGATAGTGATCCCGAGCTCCTCCACCAAAGACCCAGAGATCATCAGCATCAGCAGCGAGTCGATGCCAATATCATTAAAGTTTGTATCGTCTGTGATAGTCTTTGGATCGACAAGAGCTTGACCTGCAATAACCTCGATGACCTTTTGAGCTAGGCCACCATCTGCATGTCTGGAGGCTGCCGGCACGGCACTGGGGCCTGGGGAACCAGTTGGCAAAATATTGGACTTGGGGTTCAATGCGGTTTGAGATTTTTCCTGCACTGGTACTGGCGCGTGAGCCGATTTTGGGGATCCAGATGTTGCCTTTGGCGGGCCTGCACTGGATGAGAGTATGTACTTTAGCACGCGCCTCGGAACGCCTTGCAAGCAGACACCCTGCACAAAGCCGACGATACGATCACCGGTAAAGATGACAATATCACCCTTCCATTGCCCGTTCTCTGCGGGCGACATTTTGACATGAGTATGGTACTGACAATCCTCGCGTATTGTCTCGTACAGCTCAAAACCATCCCAACCATGATTGACAAAGACGTCCTTCTCCAAGTTCGTGCTCTCATTCGCATTCATCGTAAACCCGCCAGACTGCGTCAGTCCATCAAGTGCAGCAGGGTGTGTGTGGAATACACCCCCCTTCTTCATGCGTCCAAAACTTACTGTGCAGGCGGCTTCGAAGTTTTCATTGTCGTAGACCGTTTCATCGACGCATTGGTAGTCGGGATCGAATTCCGCGAGCTTGGAAACCATATTGTAGGCCATGGCGTTGTTGAAGCGAAAGGTCTTGCCGTTAGCACAATTGCGGCGCATTTCCTCAAAGCGGACTTTTGTCTGTGGGAGCTGGCTCTGCAGACGTGCGCGGTTGGAGTCGTCGACACAGATGATGCGACAGGTAGCGTGCTGGTGCATTCTATTTCCGTTTTCCTGGTAAGAGTGAGCATGGCTGAGAATGGCATGGTTTGGTATGATACCAGACGTAATAAACTTACATCGTGTGTCGAGAATACACAGGTCGCTTGCATCTTTTGCAGGTCGAATTTCGCTGTGCATCGCAGAAACTGTTTATGCTTGGCCGAGCCGATGAGAGCCTTGTCGATGTCCATGTGCGACACGTTGATGATCGCTCCGAGAAAGGCGGATCGGAATCTTTTCAGGGCATAGGTGCCAAGACTGAATCCAATATCGCCATAGACAGACTGCAGTGCTGGTCAGAAATGGCTCTCGATTCGTAACTTGATGGTACTTACTGGCGTGGAAAGGCCAATGCCATCAACTTTGTGACCTTGCATGACATGGTTGAGGTCCTTCCGCCCGACGTCACATTCCGTCGTGATGGTGAATGTCGAGGCCGAGACTTCCTCGCTGACAATTCTATGAATGGTCGACGACTCCAGCTCGGGGACAACATTACCCATGACCATTGCCTTGGATGGTGTGCCGTCTACTGGCTCTTTTGCTGGCTGTAGATCACCTTTGTACAGGCAGAAATCATTTTTGTACTCTATCCAGTACGATTGCAAGTCCCAGTTATAAGCCGGCAAGGGAATAACGGTCTGCGCATATGGAATGTCACAAAAGTACTCGTCCCAGTTGATAGAAGCGCCTGCATTGTAAAACGCAGACAGCGTCTCCGTCATGACCTCGAAAGCATCCGCGTTCCGTCGCAGCGTGGGAAGCACCTTGACCGCAGGTCCGAGTGTGGATTTGACCATGCCTGCAACAACAGGATGTGGCCCAAACTCGATCCCATACGTCTTGTCGTCGATGATGCCGGCATCGGTACCTGCGTGCAGGGCCTGCATCACCTGCACCGTCTCCCGCGCCTGACGGCCGATGTACTCGGCGTTGAAGACCCCGTCGCTTTCAACGACTGTCCCCAGCAGCGACGAGAGGACAGGGATTTTGGGGGTGTTGAACGTGACGCGGTGTGCGTCTGCAACTAATTGGGCTCGGATCGGGTCAATCTGCGATGTGTGAAAGGCGAATGGTGTGTTGAGAAGTGTGCTTCGGATACCTTTGTCGAGGAGAATATGTCGCATCCTCGTGACTTGCGCTAGTGTACCTGCGATGACGGTTTCTTTTGGTCCGTTGACGCAAGATACTTCAAAGGGCATTTGCAGAGTAGCTTCAATCTCGCTCTCCGAGGCAATGACTGCGAGCATGGCGTGCGACCCGCTCTCGCATAAAGCTTGCAAACACTGAGCCCGTCTACCTACGAGGTAGATTGTGTCTGCGTCACTCAGCACCCCGGCGATGTTGAGAGCCGCATATTCCCCCAGGGAGTGGCCAACCACTGCAGTCGGTTTCATGCCCCAAGATATCCACATACGGGCGAGAGCAATTTGCATGCATGTACTGGCCAGCTGTACCACGACGGGCTGGAAATCGCTGAGGCAAAGACTAGAGTCGGCGATAAAGAGACTGATAATGGAAGGGAAGCCTTGAATCCGGACCAGACGGTCCAAGTGCTGAAGCTGGTGACGAAAGACGGACAATCCATCGTACAGCCTTTTCCCCATGCCAGCATACTGGGATCCTTGTCCGGTAAAAGTAAACAGAATTTTTTTTGGCTCCAACGCTTTCATTATCCCTATTTCCTGCGACAAGGCGTCATTGAGCTTGTTCTGAACCTCTTTGAGGCTACTGCCGACGACCAAAATCCTGTGGGCATGATGCATGCGCCGGGCGGTCGTGGTATAGGACAACTGCGCTAGATCTGGCTGGCGCGACTGAGTATACTGTAGAATTGCTTTTAAATTTGCCACCAGTGATTTTGCTGATCTAGCTGTCACCGCGACTGGGAATGTCGGCCGCGACATGGCCGCTTCGCTGCTCTCAATCGTCGGCAGATCTGATGCGTCCTCCACGAGGATTGTCGAATTGCCGCCAGCGGCGGAAAAATTGTTGATAATCGCTTTGCGTGGTATGCCGCCCGACCTCTCCCAACTGGCAGCCTCAAGGTCAATAAAGACGTTTCTTTCTCTTAAATCTTTCGGGAATCCCGGATTAATCTGGGTTTTTATACCACAGTGTGGCGGAATCGTACTTTTCGTCATCATAAGAAGAACTTTTATGAGAGCACTAACTCCGGAAACAGATTCACCATGGCCGATGTTAGATTTGAGGGCTCCCAAGTGTAGTGGCTGGTTCGCGGCACGGCGATGACGACGGTCGTTGGGCGCAAAGACGCTGCAGACCGATTGCATCTCGCGCAGGTCACCAGCTTGGGTACCGGTACCATGCATCTCAACGTAGCCGACGTCGTAAGGGTCTGTTCCAGAGTCGCTAAGAACCCTGTTGAGGATATCGCGCTGGGCACCGACGTGCGGGCGGGTAATCGATTCGGCCTCGGCGGAGTGATTGGTGTATGCACCGGAAATGATGCCCATAATAGGATCATTATCGGCGATAGCATCTTCAAGCCGCTTCAGAATCACAGTCGCCACGCCTTCTCCACGACAGTAGCCATCTGCGGACGCGTCGAATGTCTTGCAATTGCCCGTGCTCGAGAGGAAGTGGCCCCGATCCAGGCCGCAGGTCATGTCAGGGTTTGTGAGCACATTTGTCCCTCCCGCAATTGCCATGTCGATATCACCCTGGAGCAAAGAGTTGAAAGCGATATGAATTGCTGAGAGGCTAGAGCTGCAGGCCGTATCGACAGCATAGCTTGGCCCAGAAAATTTGAAGCAGTAATTGATCCTACCCGGAATAAAGGCTCGATTGGCCCCAGGAATAAAGTACGTGTCAATTTTTTGGTTGCTGTTCGCTTCACACCAATCATTACTTGTGACGCCAAAGAAGACACCGACGCGATCTTCCCGTGTTGAGGGCGTCCGCCCAGGCACAATGCCAGCGCTTTCAAGGGCCTCGTAAGCTGTTAGGAGCGCCATGCGTTGAGCTGGATCAATCTGCGGAGCTTCACGAGGCGAAATGGAGAAGAACCGCGCGTCAAAGAGGTCGGGGTTGTCGATCCAGCATCCATACCGAACCTTGCTCTTGTTCTTCTCCTTGCCTTTTGGGTCGAAGTGGGTTTCGACATTCCATCGCATGCCAGGAACTTCCCGACACATGTCCATTTTGTTGATGAGGACATCCCAAAGTCCATTGACGTCGGAAGCACCTGGGAAGCGTCCAGACATGCCAACAACGGCAATTTTTGACCGACCCATTGGCCCTCGAAGTCGAGGAGAGCTCGGTGAGGGAGTTAGTGCTGCGGCAACGTCCAGAACGACAGTTGCACCAATTTCAGCCTGAGTAAGGTACCCATGAACGGATTCCCCGATCGAAGTGCCAATCGGGATGATGCTGACCTGAGAAGTCGCGGTGAATTGGATAAATTCCGCCAATCGAGTAATCGCTTTGTTTAGTACGACGGGGTTAATCAAGACGTCTCGAACAGCAGCCTCCAACTTTGCTGACAACGTTATTGACCAGTCCGATTGGCCACTACCGCAAGAGACAACTGGAATCGGCTGGAAACCCAAACGAAGTAACGAAGTCTGGGAAATGTGTTGCATAATCTCTTGCACATGCTCCTCGCCAAACAGATGAGCGGCGTGGTAGGGCGCCCTAATGGGAAGGGCGACTTGCGCCAGGGTTCGGAACTTATCCGTCAGGCGTAGCTGGGACAATGATCGCGGAGGACCACTGACAGTTACCGAATCGTGGACTTGAGCGATAATGTGGACGCGCAGAGCCAGAGGAAGAGCGCCGTTAAACTTATCTATCAGGTCCTGGACGGTCACTGGGCTGGCCCCTGACAGAAGCAAGGACCAACTAGACTCTGCATACTCGCAGTCGCCAGAGAGGGATTTGCCAATGAGTGACGCAGCGAGTCCACAATGCAAGGCTGCGATCACTGCCTCGACAGCATGAGGAACCATATTAAACAGGTTAGATGATGCACTGACGGCAGCAGCAGCCAGTGCACCGGTGCAAAGGCCAAGGATGTGGCTGTTTTGTGCCGTCGGGTATGGAATCTGCCCATCTGAGTGACGCCTAATCATGGTCAGTAATCAAGAACTGGGACACAGGCTGAAGAGAGTTACCATATGAAATGCGCCAAGCCATGAACAGCACACATCGCTTGCTCTAGTGCCGGACTTAGACAACCGTCTCGTTTCCGAGACAAGAGGTCCGAAAAGTTTGAGAATTTTGGCGTCGAATCCTTGGCAGAAGCAGGAACTTGCGTCAGCTCAACCCGAAGCGCCGCAAAAGCCTTGTTAAAGAAGCTTTTTAGCAAAGTATTATCGTAGGAAAGCAGTTGCCGAAACGAATAGTCGAAATCGTAGGTCTGATCTCCAAAGAGATAGACACGATAGGCGCTGTTACTCATGTTGGCAGTGGTGAATAGCCGTGAGGGCTTTGGATGGGTTGTACAATATGAAGCGAAAGCAGAATAAAAAATGTAACGGTAGTTAAGGCAAGGCAAGGAAAATGCTCGGAAGACTCATTGGAAGCATGGATGGTGATTCGGCGATTTCCACGTGGGTAAGACTTACTTCAATTATGTCTGCGGGGTGGTAGCCCTGGATGGCTTGCATGTATCTCGGACCCCGATGACTGAGCTTTGGGTGGCGCTTCGGATCCCGACACATCTAGCACAACAGATCCCTCTCCGGTGCAATTCCCGATGACTTTGAATCCTCGTCAGCTGGCAAATCTCGACATCAGCCCTGGATGCGGACTTGCTTATCGACTAGTTCAGACGTTCCCACCAATTTCCAAAGACTGAGATATCTCCGGAAGCAAGCGGACAACTACTTTCAGCCTCGCCTGACAAGGATTGCGGCGTTGAGGGTACCTTTACACTCTCGAGGAGCTTCTCACGCTCTCTCTGGTAATATAGAAATCATGCCGAAAGTCTTCCATAGAAAAGATGCAGTGGGAAGAGGAGGCCAAGTCGGCCTGTGACCACGCATACATGACAAAAGCACGGAGCCTAGGTCAGGTATCCCGTAATTCGAGGCCATCCAGACACACAGTATAGGTTTCGTATCGATTGTTTAATGTTGCGGGTTTAAGTGCATTCCGAGGGCAGTTTATTATAGACGGTGACCAATCGCTCAGATCCCTCGAACCGGTGCGCTGGGCCTTTTTCTTCCTCGCCTTGCGCTCGACCTGCGCGTGAAAGGCACACTCCTTGGCGTGGCTGTGGCCAATCGCTGACATGCTTCCAAGGCATTCCTTCTTGTGATGCCCGACATGACTAAGAGTAAACCAAAATCTGGTCGTGCCAAGTCGGACTGACATTCTAGCGTTCATTCCATTAGTTCTATCTACTTCTTTAAATCTAGCTCCAGCTCCCCCGTAACGAACCTTTCCGCCGAGACTCAATCTCATCCACCGTCGAGTGCAGCCGCGAGAGCACCAAGTTTGTAATCACACACGACAGTTTCACCTCTCCAGTCGCCTTCTTCCTATCATATGACAAAGAGTCAACGTACTGCTCCCACTTCCCCACCATGTCGTGAAGCTGGCTCAGGACCAATTGATCCCGCACTACAGACGACATCTTCTCGTCGAGCTTAAAACTGCCCAGCGAGAGCTCGCTGTGGCGAAGACTTAGCTGTCGGATGGTCCGCCCGCTGGAAAAAGGATAGCAGGGCTTGACGTTTGCTATTGCCTGGTAGAGGTCGAGAATCTCGCACTCGCTCGCCGCCAGCATCATGAGAACGGTACTGTCCCGCGCGCACGAGCACCGCAAATGGCTGCTAACTTTCTGCGAGAGCGTGACGATTTCGTGTAGCAACGTGTCCAGTGTCATTGCATTAGCCTGTCCAAGCTCAAAAATATCGCACAGCTGCTTCGCAACTTCAGTCGGTTCGCAGCAAGGCGGCCCCCGGGGAGCGTCCAATGTCGCCGACGAGTGACCAGACGATGTCGGCGTCATTGGCACAGACACGGAAAATTCGCCACCAACCGCGTCCAGTAATGTTTCTGAAAGGGTAATTGCTTGTTGTGATGTGGCAAGGCTGAACTGTGTGGTTCCTGATAATGTAGTGGCGAGTGAGGCTCCTGTCAATGCGGCACACGGGTCATAATATGCTGCTGGCGAATGATGGGCGGCTCCCAAGTTGCCTGAGACTCCAAGCTCCTCCTGCCATGGTAGGCTCGGTAGCATCAGGTCCCTGCATTGCCAAAAGTCTGACGTAACATTCGATAGTTCGGGATTAACGGCGACCTGCATTGCGCTTGGCGAACCAGCAGCGCTCCCCTGCCTTGTTGGCGCATCGGCACTGCTCAGTTGCACGCCGTCGCAGGCAGCGAGCTCTCGTCGGAGCGCCAGCTTAGCCTGTGATGGTTTGCCCGCTCGTTGTGACACGCCGTAGTTGCACTCTCGGTTCGTTTGTATGCATCTTGCACACGAGGGATGCTGTTTCCCGCACTTGACTTTGTCCGCCGCACATCGGTCACAGGAAGCTTTGAGCTTGGCCGCCAAACCTGACATGGTAGAGTATGTGTATGTAGATGTGAAATGAGAATTTGTCAACTCGCGCAATTGTCGAGCGCAACGGCACGGGCAAGGAGAGGTATATCTGGTCTCTGTCGCACGACGGATTACGCCAACTACTGGGACACCTCCCTCGTGCATTATTACGGTGATATGGGCTTTCGGCTCGCATACAGATGCAAACGGAACGGGACCCATGGGCGTACATGCGCATACTTCTCATCATAGTAGCAGCCGATGATAAGATGTTCAATACTTGGGTGTACCACCCCCTCTCTAGTTAGTAGGCAGCGCCTAGGTTCGCGGGGCCCCGCCACTTTAGACCTCGCGGGATCGTGCTTCCCCTCACCGCACCAACTTGCAGCCCACTATTAGCAACTCGTCAACGTCGACGAGCCGCCCGTCTGTGTCTGAATTTCCTGATGAATATTGTAGAGAAGTCATTGGTGTATTTAACTGCATATTTATCTAACAGCTGAAGCACCTACAACCGGAGGAGGTTCGCCCTCAATCTCATCAGAAGCTGCACCCAGTTGCAACCCAGGTGAGCGGGGGCCATCCCGGCCATCCCTAGTTCCTTCTTCCTTCAGGAGCCGAAGCCAATAGGTACATAGTTATTTAGAGGCTTGAAGAGCAGCGGGGGTGTATAATATTCGACGGCACCAATAATAGGGCGGAATGCATATCGCATCCAGGAGATTGGGCCACTATTGCTGACGTTAGATGCATAAGGGCCGGCTCTGCTTGCCGAAAGCCGTTCCAATCAGTAACTACCTAGGTAAATAGGAAGCCATCTCAGTGGTCGGCTAGCAGGAGACCAAGGAAAGAACTTGACACTTGGTCGCGCCCATTGCAACCGAGGCGCGGGTACGGCGCACCGCATCTGCAAAATATGGTGCCTGTTGCCGGCGACGAAAATAGTTCCAGAGTTAGCAGCCTGGCAGATCTTATGCCTTTGAAATACAAGGCAGAGTGCTGGAAGCAGCTACCCGCAGCCATTGCAACACAAAGGATAAACAATCTTAGCAGTACTATATTATCTGGTCGTATTTACGGTCGTAAATACACGGCAGAAGCTGTTAGAAGCAGAAGCAGGTGCATACATCGCAGTAATACTCAGTAGTACAGTAGAGTATAGTATAGACACATCAGCTGCTTTGTACCTACTCTGTAGGTAGGTATGTAGGGTTACTTCGTAGGTAGGCACAAGCTGCAATAGCCTACAATATATTGGCGAGCCTGAACCTGGCCCACAGCACTGCCCGTTCCCCCACACCAAGCTGAAACCCTTTGGCCTACTTGAGGCGAGCCACCAGGATAGCCAAGTTGCTCCCCGTAGGAATCTCCACGCTCTCCATTTCCAGTCGTTCATCCGCATCCTTCAGCAATTTTTTCCAGTCCTCCAGCTCCCTCTCCGACGCATTAAACGCCTGCATCATCGTCATGTCCCTAACCCTTAGCTGCGCCTCATGCACGCGGCCAATGGTGCCCGGGAGCGGCAGCGCCGAGTCCATAATCATGATGCGCGCGTCGGGCCGCATCACTGTAGAGATGTTCTGTAGGATCTTGGTGGCGTCCGCGTCGGGCCAGTCGTGAAGGATCTGGCGGAGAAGGTACACGTCTGCTTCCTCGACGGGCTGTGGCTCGAAAAAATCGTGCTCTGCAAAGGTGATTCTGTCGCGGACTCCAGCATCTTCGTCGATGGACGTCGCATCGACGTTTTGAATGACTCGAGGGAGGTCTTGCACGATGAACTTGAGGCCCTTGTGCTTGCGGGCAAGCGCAATGCTCGCATGGCCCAACGAGCCCCCGACGTCGACAACAGTAGCTCCGTCTCGGAGACGCGACGCCCAGTCGTAGCCGTCGACAAGATGCTCCAGCGATGTGCCGTACGTGGCCGTGACGGCCTTCATGTAGCTGCTAAACTTTTTCGTGGCCTCGGGTGTGGTGCTGAGCCACTCGAAAAATGGTTCGTCCGTGCCGAGGGCCAGATTGAAGCTCGTCTCCGTCTTGGAGGTCGTCGCGCCCCATTTGGATGTCGCCTCGTACATCTTGAGGCCCATGATAATGGAGTCCTCGGCCAGGAAGATAGCCCAGGTCTGCAGGGGCTCACTCCGAGCAAATTGCGCAGAGAGCTTGGTGTGCTGCACGTTTTGAGAGGCCGTCTCGGCGAAGAAGTTGGCGCACATGAGCATGCGCACGATGCTCTTTAACTGCTTCAATGGGACCTTGGCCGCCGCGGCGAGGTCGGCGTAGGAGATGGAGCCGTCCAGCGGGACGAGCGAGATGACGTTGAAACGGCACAGCCATCGGAGACCAGATATTTGTTGCCCCTACCCATTCTCATGTTAGGGGTGTACGGTCATAGAGAGAAGCTTTCATCCTCGAATCGTACGTACCTGGACGGCCAGGTTGGGAAGGAATTGCGTAGGCTCAGAGACATCTTGTAGTAGCCTAGTGGCGGCATCAATCAGTGCCTCGCGAGCCTCGATAACAGCGTGAGGGGCGTTGACTGGCAGTTCGCGCCCATCGCTGGTGTCGTTGTTGGCGTGCTGGAAAGTGTCCAGAGCCTTGGCAGCTTCTTGGATCTTGTCGGCGTAGTCTTGTAGCTTGGTACTGGTCATGATGGAGATGGAGTCGACGATGTTTTTTTTCTTTCCTCAATTTATTCTAGCTCCATACATATACTATCTGCCAGACACCAAACCCTTAACTATGTCTACTTGCATCCCCAAGTAGCAGTGTGCAGCCGGTGGTTACAGCCATCTCCCATTACAAACCCGACGGATACCAGTGAAACACTAGTCAACACTTCCAGCCCTTCCGGCACTGGCGCGGTTTTCATCCTGTCGCTGGACTCCGAAATGCTGAGATCGGATACCGACTAACCAGAGTGGGTGGACGAGGCTCGGGAATCACCCAATTAGTGGCGCACCCGAATCCACCACAGTTCTCAGCCTTCCGATCAGCATCATACCCAGCCTTCGGCATCAAGCCTGTCATAGCACTTGAGCTATCAATTTCTGTATTCCATCCTCTCATCCCCTCCTTCATGCCTGCTTCGCGTCCATTACAGATCGAATCACTGCACAATCGCCATGGTGCAGTCATGCCCAATCCGCCTCCAACTCGGAGCGCTTCTGTCTATCATTTCCTTGTTCGCAAAGTCGACCAGTGCGGCTCTCATCCAGAAGAGTCTCACATTCACATGGGAAAATGGCGCGCCCAACGGCCAGGGGCGCGAGATGATCAGAACCAACAGCCAGTTCCCGTCGCCACTGCTCGTGTTTGATGAGGGAGACGATGTCGAGATTACCGTCAAGAATGAGATGCACGAGAATACAACCGTACACTGGCACGGCATAGATCAGCGAGAGTCGCCGTGGTCGGACGGCGTTCCCGGACTGTCGCAGACGCCCATCGAACCTGGCGAAACCTTCATCTACCGCTTCAAGGCGTATCCGCCTGGGCAGCACTGGTATCACTCGCACTCGAGAGCCGCATTACTCGACGGCTTGTATGGGCCTCTGCTGGTTCGTCGCAGGAAGGGCACAGCAAACCCCTTTCACCTGATTAGCAAGGACCCCGAAGACATTCGCGCGATGGAGCGTGCGGCACACGACCCAAAGGTCATGCTTGTCTCCGATTGGTCCAACTTCAACTCTTCGCAAGTCCTGGAGGCAACCGCCAAGAGCAAGCTCCAAATCTTCTGCGTTGACTCAGTGCTGATCAACGGCAAGGGCAACCTACACTGCCCAGGCCAGCAGTGGTTCACCGACATGCAGATTCCCTTTATGCAACGCAGCTGGCCCAACGACACGATTTCTGACAAGGGATGCTTCCCGTTCGTGCCAAGCACAGAAGGGCCATGGCTCCCCGAAGGTAATACATCGCACATTCCATATGGCATGCAGGAAGGGTGCATGGCGTCCACCGGCCAGAAAGAACTCATCGAGGTAGATGCGGATCAGCAGCGCTGGGTAAGCATCAACTGGATCGGCGCGTCGACATTCAAGACGTTGCAGCCGAGTATTGACGAGCATGAGATGTGGGTATACGAGGTTGACGGGAACTACATCGAGCCGCGCAAGGCATCGACGATGCTTCTCTGGGCAGGCGAGCGCTATTCTGCCATGGTAAGACTTGACCAGAGGAAGATGGACTATGCGATTCGGGTAATTGATGGCGGGTACTCGCAAATGATTGGAGAGTTTGCTACGCTTCGCTACGCTGGCGGAGAGATAGACCTCGCAGAACCTGATCGCTTCGGCGTGACGACAATATCGCGACCTTGGTTCGGGTACAACGCCTGGCCAATAGGCAAACCTACATTCTTGGACAAGAACGATCTGCCACCCTTCCCGCCGACTCCTCCAGCCCGTCTCAGCGACGAAACCCACATTCTGATGCTGGGCAAGGCAAACTCGACGTGGGAGTTTACCCTAGGCGGAAAGAAGAAGTATCCCGAGGACCACTCCGCCTACAAGCCACTTCTCGAGCACCTCGACTCGGCAGAAGCCAACGATGGCGATCTAATGATTCGCACCAAGAACGGAACGTGGCAAGACATTATCCTACAGGTAGGTCACAGCAAGCTCTGGCCTGTCGAGTTCCCGCATGCCATACACAAGCACGCCAACAAGTACTGGCGCATCGGCTCTGGGATGGGCATGTTCAATTACTCAACCGTCAACGAAGCGGTCGAGGCGCAGCCGGAACTATTCAACCTAGAGAATCCGCCATACCGGGACACCTTCCTCAACGAGTTTACAGGGACTATGTGGGTGGCTTTGCGATACCAAGTCACGCATCCTGGCGCGTGGCTGCTGCACTGCCACTTTGAGACGCACTTGTCCAACGGCATGGCGATGGCCATCTTGGACGGCGTGGACGTCTGGCCAGTCGTGCCGGAAGAGTACGCCAACAACGGAAAGGGCGTCCTTGGCGCGGGGGGCGCGGGCCAAAAGGCGGAAAACAAGCCAGCCGCTGCGAGCGAA